ATTATCATCCCATTCATTGCTGTTTCTTTAATTTGTATTTTCTTGCCCATTTATTCATTTCCTATTCTTTCAAGTAAATACATAAATTGCACTTAAATGGCCCTGCTAATTCTAATATTAATGTACCTTATTTAGTTACGTTACTCTCTGTTTTTATTTACTGCAATTTACTGCAACCACATAATTTCTATTCTAGGTATGAATAAAGATAAAAAATATCTTAATCTTAATCAAATATCCACGCTCATGTATTTATTTTCGAATGACCTCGTACATTTGTTTGATGGTAGCTTTTATGTAAGCCATTTATTTTGTGGTTCATCCAATAGTCCTCCATACGGACTCACAAGTGGGTGGCATTAACTTACACTGAGAACATACACACCCAAATATCATAAGGAATGGATAAAAGCCATTGTGCTACCTATGCAATACTGTAGTAGAGGCAAGTAAAGTAAATGTAAGTCGACTCAAAATATGTAACTTGACAGCTGGAATAATTCATTTATATTGTATGAAGGTGAGAGAGAGTATGAAGAAAAGTTCAGTACTTGTGCAGGGCTGACACTGATTGGCTCCCTGAGGACGATCCAGGTGACGCTCTCCAACAGGGGAGGCGTGGTCAGAGATCCATCATAGGTCCCAATAATCCAGAGAACCAGGAAGAAGAGTCTTTGAGTCAAAGTTAGAAAAGGTGGTCTGCTTTCCCTGCAGATGTCAAGGAGCAAAGGATAGAAAAGAAGAAGTGAGAGAAGGAGGCCATTGTTACTCCTGGTTAATCCCGATCCTTTGTTAGTCTCCAAAATATATAAATTGCTCTGCATTGACCGTAACGGCAGATTTGTTCTTACCTTCGTATTAATGGCATCCAAGGCATCCAGAACCTTCTGAAGCCTGGGGTTGGCAGCACCAATCTGGAGCACAACACACACACATATTTGTAATTTGAATTCTCAAATTACTTACCATGTATCTCAAAGGGCATAAATAGCACATTTCCACCACTACATAGAGTGCAGCCACTTTCGAATGGTTTGCCAGTCAAGACTCACTGATCACTAACCTTGAGGAAGACCCCAAGCACAGCCAGTCCATCGGGCTGGCTGGCTGCATCTCCAAAGCTCGGGTACTTGGTGTTCCAGTGGACCAGGTGAAGCTAAAAGGAAACAGAGATGTTTCAGCAACCTCCGGTTCTGAAAACGGAAACTAATGTCTAAAACTGGCACTCTCTCTACTGACCACCAGGGGGCGACTCCTCTGATGCATAGAAGTCTTTGAGAAAAGGACGCTAATTCTCTCTTGATTTATTCCCTCTGCAAACATTGTAAACATTAGTTTATGGTGTCAATCTCTACTTTAAGGTCTTCTTTCAATACAGCATTACCTGTGTTTAGTAAATTATGGTCCATTTGGACTCAATTAGAGAATAAAGCAGAGGGTGCTTCAGGGCAGTGCTTCCTTGCATTCAACAGTAATTAAAAAATTCCCCTGCTCTTAAATGCCCCATTGTGGCAGAACGACAGTAATGATTGTGGAGATAGTGAGATTATTAGTTCAGTTCAGTGTTTTTCTGTCAATTCTGTGTCCTTATATAAAAACAAATCCTATTAAAACCCACCTCAAACTTTGAATATGTTGGGACTAAAGATACTGGGAATCCACCTATGAATTACCTACTTGATACTGTAAGACCCTATTGTTGTATGTTAGAGATCCTTATAAAGTTCCTTAACTTTATAAAAAAAATATATAAAAATGTACATATAAAAAATATATATATATCTGTCCTCCTCCAAGTCTGCTGTGATTCTGAAAAAACTGTAACCAGAGGTATTAGTTTCACACATATTATACCAAAACCTCTTAAATAGGTGGGATAGAAGCACCACAGGACGAAGCCGTTCATCCTCTAACATGAACTGTATGTGCTGGTTGTATCAGAAGATCCAGCAGCCTCAGTACCTCGCAGGGGAACTTGATGCCGTTGATAGTGTGCTCGGAGCCTCGGTCATCGCTGGCTCCCCAGTGGAAATGAAACTGCTTCAAGCGGTAGGTGCCGGAGATAGGACCTCCAGTCAGGGCTGGTAGAGCATGACAACCAAATCATTAGAGACACAGTTGGGAAAGGACACATTTAGTACAAACATGGTGAGTTTTAAATCTATGCTCCTCAGTAACCTGCACGTTTTTAAAACGATAGTGCAGATTTTTTTTAGATTTAGTGTCAGTTCTACCTCACGATATTGCATGCGTATGTTTTTACTTTTCTATTTGAGTTCAATAACGTTTGTTTTTGTGGTGTGGGACGGGAGGAGCTTCATCAGGAAGTAATACTTATGCAACAAGACATCAAACCCAGGGAAACTGGTTGCACACAGAATTGGCTTTGATGAATAAAACTTCAACTTTTTGTACAAATATTCAAATTAAGTGGAAAAGGGAAAAAGAGGAGGTAACATAAATTAATATTGATAAGCCCTGTTCCCGGAATGGAGCACCAGCAGGATTGTTCAGCCACAAGTTGCTTTTATTCTATGTTGTCCGTCAACACATTGACATTTACAGGACTCTCGGAAGTCGAGCTCTCCCGTCTCGGGATTATAAGTCCGTCAATCGCTGTTAGTGTGTGTTTTCAAACCAGGAAGACATCCACAAGGATTCATTTCTTGCAGCTGAGGCCAATGGCCTCTACCCAGCACATTTACCCTGAGCCCCTCTCTTTCCACCTCTGCAGCCGAACCTAAAACTACGCCCGCCACCACGCCGAGGTGGTGTTTTAAATACACATAAGACACTAGAACACACTGCTCTCACTGATAACGTAAACGCCGTTATTCACCCCAACCCCATACAGCCCCTGATCAGGACTCTCACCTGAACCCACACATCCGGGTCCATGTACAAGTCTTTTGAACATCAATGTACCAACACACATTTATAACAAATACACAACGAGCAGCTCACGTTACCGGATGCCGCCGTGCTGTTAACGGCAGCTCGTCTGTATTTGACAGTATTTACATTTCATTTCTAATTTTTGGACGCCCTGCTTCATGGACTGTTCATAAGAAACATATAAAAGATCAACACCAAAGAGTTGTGATTAGCAATTCTCCCATTTGAGTTGATACAAATAGCAAATATTGATTACTATATGGGTGGTAACTTATTCTTTAATGTAGGTGGCACAAATCTTTGGCCTCTTACTAGAAAGGATCTTTTGATGCACAGTGCGGGTCTTCCTGAGGTGATAGAGAATAGACATGTTGTTTGAAGTCAGTATGTTGGCATCAAAGTCACATATTAACATAAGGTTGGCATGCATGACTTTAAAATCTATATTTAGAGATTTTTAAAGCTCAGTAATATATGGTATGTTACATTGGAATAAAACGTAATGTTCTAAGAAGTTGAGGGTGCTTACAGTGCGAAATACGTTCAACTGGAAATAACACAAGAAGAAAGGTGGATTTGTCCTTTGCACTAAATACTGTTAATAACAAACGAAGCATCCAAAGCAACCAAAGCCCACGAGCTTCAGGGAACACAACATCTATTACGTTTTGAAACATGAAACGTTCTGCTGAGGCGGAACGGAGGGTGACTGCTCTCTTGATTACATTTCATCTTTGGATTTCATCGTGTCCAGGCGCAAAGTTTTAGCGCACATTGGGGACGTAGAGCTACTTGTACGGTGCAATTTAACGCTGCACATACCAGATTAGTTCAAACGTCACCCGGTTAAAAAGTTGTCCAAGAAACATGGAATGTTGAGCCACGGAAAGCAGGTAAAGAAACGGGGGCGTGGCCGTCGGCCACCACGTTCCCATAATGCACAGCGCGTCCCTGCAGTTGCCGCATAAACTAAACCATCTCTTATATTTCACTCAGAAGTCGGTGCTGCGCGTACTGGACGTTACGAACGCGCGTCACTGACGTGCTGCGCTGTTTCACGTCATTCACGCGCGCGCTTCACGTGTGAAGCCTGACAGAAGGAGGCGTGACGGGGAAACGCTTCAGCTCCGCGCGGCCTGCTCGTCACTTCACTCGAGTTTCTCTTCAGATCGCATAAATCTTTCGCCTTTTACTAAAGATTTCCGTGGAGAGGAACACTGAGAGTAACATCCAATTTTTGACGTCCTGCTTCACTGCGGGGCTTCCTCGACTGTAGAGATGAAATATTAAACCACATAGAAAGAGTTCACCGCTAAAATAAAACCTAGTTTATGCTGCGTTTTCAGAGAGACGCAAGGACACGCAATGAATTTGAAACGAGTGCGTCGACACGACTGTGCGGAAAGACGCACGTAGTGTAACAACAACGTTGTATTGAGTTAATACATACTGACAGTAAAGGCTGCTTCTGCGTCTGCGTCGACACACTCGTTTCAATTCATGGTTCTGAAAGTCTTGCGTGTGTTGCAGAGCAATTCACCGCCAGAACAACAGGTGGAGTAACGTGTTTTGTTGAAGACGACCTAGAGAGTCTTTGTGTGTGGAAGTCGTTGGTTGGTTTGTTTATTTATTTATCATAGACTTTGTTGCCCCGTGCATCGCCACTGCTGCTTTTCATCGTGGACACATTTGTCCCGTGTTTTCCTCCATACCAACTTTGTTGCTCTCGACCGGCAAACCGACGTTTGCGGAGATCTCCCTCCATGAATCAGAGGCCATCCGCGCGTCCTTATAGTCCGCCAATGACGGCTTGTATAAGCGGTCATATTTACGCATTTCTTCCGACAAAAACTCTTCAATTTGATTAATTCTATCGTAAAATCGTTGTTTTAATAATGGCGGTATTGTGCTATGAAAACGGAAATGTGAGACTCCGTAAAGGACGTAGTTAGCAGACCAATAGCAGCCTTGCGCTCTGAAGGAGGAAAAACGGGTCGACGCACGCAAGGGGCTCTTGCGTCTCTCTGCAGAAGCATAGACTAGGTTTTATTTTAGCGGTGAACTCTTTCTATGTGGTTTATTATTTCATCTCTACAGTCGAGGAAGCCCCGCAGTGAAGCAGGGCGTCAAAAATTGGATGTTACTCTCAGTGTTCCTCTCCACGGAAATCTTTAGTAAAAGGCGAAAGATTTATGCGATCTGAAGAGAAACTCGAGTGAAGTGACGAGCAGGCCGCGCGGAGCTGAAGCGTTTCCCCGTCACGCCTCCTTCTGTCAGGCTTCACACGTGAAGCGCGCGCGTGAATGACGTGAAACAGCGCAGCACGTCAGTGACGCGCGTTCGTAACGTCCAGTACGCGCAGCACCGACTTCTGAGTGAAATATAAGAGATGGTTTAGTTTATGCGGCAACTGCAGGGACGCGCTGTGCATTGTGGGAACATGGTGGCCGACGGCCACGCCCCCGTTTCTTTACCTGCTTTCCGTGGCTCAACATTCCATGTTTCTTGGACAACTTTTTAATCGAGTGACGTTTGAACTAATCTGGTATGTGCACGCTGTGCATTGTGGGAGCGTGGTGGCCGTTGGGTTCCGGAGCAGCGACCACATGTTCTGAATGTGTCACATTTCCCTCATTTAAAAACCAGGTTCATTAGTCAGCAACCATTAAAGCGTGGGGATAATTGATCCGCTGTGCTGCTGATCCAGGTGATAAGTGTCCACTTGTGGCTGTGAGCTGAATGGAATTCTACTCATCATTCTCTCCTCTCTTGTGTCATTTCCCTCTTTGCAAAAACTGCAGCGATTCACCTCAATGATGCATTGAATTCATCTGAATTAACATATTGACCTTTGGAATTGAAGAGCTTGTTTGTGTTGCGGTTAGATTTCTGCCCCTATGTTTTAATATCACGAGAAAAAAGTCTAAAGACTAAAATAAACTCGCACTATGAAGTTGATACCAATAGAAAACCCTTTTAATAAGGCGTAAATCAGTGTGTCTCATTGTCCATACAAATTTATAAACACATAAGAAAGAATAACTCAAAAACATAAAAAGACGATATGACAGTCGTGACAAAACGTGCTGAGAAAACTCATGAAGTACAAAGAAGTTTTGGTTACAAGTTTTTGAAAATGATGATAATCCCTATTACGCTGTTAATATTCTTAGTGATACTTGGAGACATGGACAACATGTGTGAAAGAAGGACATGAGTCCTGTGTTACACAGCTCATTATAGCTACTGCATTCACTTGTTGAGACACACACAGAACGGCCCCAACCCGTCAGAACAAATCTCAAATGGAATAATGTTCTATACACACCAATAACACAACGTGGCATAACTTACTGAGCTGACAGTAAATGTATTCGCTGGCTGTGAGTGAAGGGTGAGCCCTGAGACGCTGTCGGTTTGGGTGGTTGGTGTCTCCACCTGCAGATTCTGGCAGAAGTTTCAGCCCCATCGTGTTAAATTACTTTGCACGAGTAAGTTCTGCCACACACTAATTCATGTTAACCATTGAGAGAACATGAGTTTTTAAATAAATAAACAGCTCATTGTTTGAATGTGAACACTGTTGAGTTGAAACTAGACAAGAGTGAGTAAGTTGTTCACAAGCTTAAAGACAGGAATGCAAAGAAGTCAAGAGTTACACAATAAATAATGAATCACTGAGGACAGCAGGGCAGGTGAGGACAACTGTGTGGGTGTACAGATCAATGGAGGCAGTTTATTTTTATTTTTTAAGGGTGACTGTACAGGAAAAACGACCATATAAAGAAAGGATGGAAGAATACAAGATGTTGGGGCAGTAATGAGACATTTTGGCACATTTAAAAACCGGTATTTCTGTGAGTTTATTTAGTTGAATCTGGTTTTACAGAAAGTCAAGTTTCCCTGTTCCTGTCTTTTTGTCAGGGATAGAAGTTACTGAGGCTTCACTTTGTAGCATTTTACAAGTACTTGTGTACATGAACCCGAATGCACAATAGAGTAAAGACAGAGTAAAGGTACATATTTAGGTGCGCTGAGTTCAAGCAGGGTCAAAACGGGCCATTATTCCCTCGAGCAAACAAATCCAGGAAACGACAGGCAGGGTTGAAACAGGCAGATCAGGAATATCGAGGTGACGGAATACAAGACCCGGCAGGAATCTAGTCTGAGTATAGCAGACCCAAACCGAGAGGCACTAGTGAGGGGACGGGCGTGGGAGGGACGGCGAGCGATGTGAGTGCTGATAGGGAGTGAGCACATCTGAAATTACACAAGCGCTTTTTAAACAGGTAGCAAAAATGTTCTACTCGACACCAGGTGTTAAATCAAAAGTCAGGACATTTATTCTTGCAGGAGAAGCAGAGTAGTATCACAGTTAGGTGTCGCGTTGCTGCTGATAGGTCGGCCTGTCCTATTAACGCACTGCAAAGCGACAAGAAAACCATTTCTTCTTTGTCTTATATCGAAATGAGTGTCTTTTGTGAAACGTATATTTACGTCTTTCTTCTAAAACGTGTTGAGATTTGTAAGGTTACTTTCTATTGATACATTTGTTTGTCTTTATTCATTAAAAAAATGTATTCCATATTTCTCTCCAATTTATCCCAACTGGTCAGCAACTTTTACCATTGGGGTCAATTTGACCCCAGCTATTTAAACACCTAGAAAATTACCATAATTAAATTTTTTTCTTCAAGTTTATGTATTACGAACTTTGTGCTAGTTTGTTAAAAAAAAGACACCTACCGCCTTAAACATCCGGAAATACCTGCTATTGAGAAATATGCAGATTTTGATGACAATAGAAGTACTAAGTCTACCCTGTTGTTCAAGTGGGGTCTCTCATACGACAGCTCAAGGGCCGAGACCCTTCTGCCACTATGTAGAATGTGCATACTAAGCATCACTGAAGCTACACATTGATTTTCTTTAGTTTGGATTGTGTTTTACAGTAAAGCAATGCACCGCAGAATGCCTGTTTATCACAGATGGGATCCCTCTTGTTGAGTTAGTGGCTCAAAAGAGCCGCATATCCATATGAAGTGTTTGGTAGTACAAATCCGCCCCCCCTCACTCACCCCCCATCCATCTCACACTTGGTATTTTCCAAAAGGTATTTTCTTTTCATGTATTTTAAGATGTTGTAATGTCAGTGGTTTCTGTGCAGCCTTTTTTGGTTCCTCATCAACTTAACAGGTTTGTGTGCCATGCACGCTCAGCCCTCTATGTCTTTAGGTGTTTGCACTGCATCCAGTACTTGCAAATCTCTGTGTAATAGGTCATGTGACCAGCCCTTTTATTTCAGACACATTAAACCATGACAATGCTTATTTACTGTCTATATAGATATTTCCTTCCTTTTGGTCAGGGCACCACGCCATCCAAACACACGTACAGCCTGAAACAGGTTTAAATGTTGGCTTGTACGATCATTAAAAGTGATAGACGTTCTGTTTCACCATAATCGTGTTTAGTGATTGTTTTATACATAAAATAACAGATTTGAATGCTCAGAAATCACACACAAATATTACATCATCACATCCCTCTACTTGTAAAGCGATAAATGGCTTTTCTTTCTGCATCAAACATCATTCTATTTGATCTTCCAATATTTATGTATCAGTGTGTGTGTGTAGGTAAGTAAGTGTGCATGATCTGAGTCATCAGATTATCATCTACGAAAGCATACACATCTCTGATTGTCCCAGAAATACACATCCGAATAAACAAGTATCTGAAGAGATGAGCAGCAAACTTTAAAGAAGCTTCAACGTGGTTTTTCTTCATCAGTCCTGCGTGGTGAGCGTGCGCGCAGGCCATGGCGGTTAAGTGCATTCCTTATTGTTTTCTTTGAAACAATTGTACCTGCTAATTCCAGGTCTTTCTGAAACTCTCCTGAGCGGTCCTTGCCTCTTGGACAACTCTTCTCGTAATGGTTTTCACTCCTCTGTCAGAAATGTTGCGAGGAGCACCTGGTCGTGGCTGGTTCATGACGAAATGATGTTCTTTCCACTTCTGGTTATGGCCTCAACAGTGCTCACTGGAACATGCAGAAGCTTTGAAATCCTTCTGTAACCAATGCCGTCAGTATGTTTTGCAGTGATACGGTTGCGAAGGTCTTGAGACAGTTTTTGGCCTTTACCCATCATGAGATGTTTGTTGTGGGACACTTGAGAGACACCTTTTTATAGGCCATCAGTTGTGACTGGACCAGCTGCATGACAAGGGGCAGGAATGCTTTCTTATTACTGATTGATTTCGTGTCTTGGCTTTCCATGCCGTTTTTTTACTTCCCTAGCTTCATGTGTTCAATACCTGTGACCATGCTGTCCATCACCTAACCTAAAAAACAAACAAATTCAACTAAGTAACTCACAGAAATACCTGCTTTTAAATGTGCCAAAATGTCTCTCAGCCCATGCTGCCCACTCACCACGGCACACCTGGCTGTCCAAAGTTTAAAGCATGTGATGACGATCTGAAAAATCTCTTGATCTTGAACAGACATCTTCTCATGCAACATCACAAATTAATAATTCAGTTTAACTTCTAAAAATGAAATGTTGGAAAGACCAAGCTACATCACCTCTGACGATAAAAACAGGATGAATAGGATGATCGGGCTGCCTCATGAATTGGCCCAGACTCAAATGCGGTCACGGTAATAAAGAAAAATAGTTAAAAACCACGGTTTAATTGGCGGATCAGGAGGCCTCAGTGTTCTACTGAAACACTCACAAGTTCCCGTATCCCTTAATATCTTACTGATTTCATTAATGTACCTTATGCCATTTTTGGGTATTATTTTCGTTGTTAAGTCATGTCTTACGTCTATTGTGTGTATGAACGGTTTCTTGTGGGAAACAAGTTTCATTAATAAAAGAAGATCTTCTAATGTAATTAGAATCTAAATCTGTGTGTTATAATTTCGCCATAAATGTTAACTTCAGCGTCTATGATAAAGTAAAGTCACATTTGAACTCAATGAGACTTATTTTTGTGTTTTTCAGTTTGCCGCCTAATGGTCATTTTGCATGGAGCTTTCAGGATGTCTCTCAGGTACGTGTGGACATACCCTGCAAGTTTGTTTCGTTAAGGTTTGTCGAGTTTTGTTTGAGCCACGGCCTTTTGATGCCATTTAAAAGTTCCTCGGTCAATATCCCCAAAAAATACACAAAAAAGCTTTTTTAACTTTAATATGTTTAAACCAATCTCAGGTGATGGAATTTACCTTTAAGAAATTGCATTAAGGCAGATTTGATTCAAATCCTTCAATACTCTTTAGTCTAAAGCTGAATGTTATTCTCCTCACTTTGCTTTTGTTATTTTCCTTGGATCACTTTTTGGTTCATATGGATGTGTTTCTATAATTGTCTGTACTTATTTTGTGCTCAATTTTCTTGACACAATGAAAAAAAGAAGACTGTTCCATGGTCTTTGCTTGAAATCCAAGCAGTACCGATAACTGGTTAGAATATCCAGGTTAGTCTACATTTCTCATTCAATTAAAAAACAACAAGTTGATGCCACAATGGATAGTTTTACGAGTGGAAATGCGATATATCTTGTTGTTCAATGTCAAATGTTTTTTTTGTATACTATTAAAAACCCACCATTGAGCCACACCAGCAGTGACATGGTCCTTCAATATCATGAACAGATCATTTTCTTGTATTGTAAATATTTAGAATAATTATATTAGTCCCCTGACAAAAATAGAGTAGAATACAGTGTATTGTGTTAGTGTTGTGAACTCTAGAGATCCTTATCACTATACGTGTAAATTGTTTGAATGCTTTTGATACCAAAGATACATAAAAGTCTGCTGTAGGAGAATTTTTGTGGACATATAATAATTTTTTTAATTGATATCGATCCCGCCTCGTTTCACTCTTGAATGAACACTTTTTGAGAGGCACGTCGGGAAGAGACTCTCTTGCATACTTCCAAAAGGTGTGAGAAACATTTCTATGAAAGAAATAGGTACACAAGTGACTGCTCTCACATCACTGATCACCAGATTTCAAAACCTGGCGTCCATCGAGAAGGAAAATAACCCAACCTTTTCTCTGTTGATGTGGAAGGAGAACTGGAGGCGGTGCATGTTCAAGTGTTTTTTAATTCAAAGTGAATCCCTTTGACGTATCCACCAGCAGCTCCCACTATCAATCCGATTGTTGAGTGCAAAGAAGGAATTCACTTTGATCTAGTGAGACTTTAATTATACTGCTGGTTTAAGCGCTTCAACCCAGTAACATGAAATGTAACTTACTCTTCTCCATGTGAACGTCTGAGGTTTGGACTCCAGTGCTAAATACAGTAAGGAAAATGTGTAACCATTAACACTGTGTGCAAGTTGTAGGAAACTCATGGCATCATGTTACATCAAGCCAAGTAGGTGTTCCTTACACTCTGCCATCAGCAGACCACACCTCCCCATACCTGCTGCTCTTTAACAACCTGTCATTTCACTCTCACATCACAACAGTTGTACGGGGACTGAACTACATTGCTCTGAAACCTCTTTGACCAACCGCCATTGGTTTGGATCGCTATGGATTCACCACAGCAGTCAGGTAGGAGAAGTTTGATAAATTAATAGATAAATTAATAGATAGCTATCTATTAGGTGGATAGGTGGATTATATATAGCTACATGGGTTGGTGGATTATAGATAGGTGGATTATATAGCTAGATATATAGATTATATAGCTATGAGGGGTCGTCATGGCGCAGGGGGTAGAGCGGGTGTGCTGGGAACCGCAAGGTTGGTGGTTGGAGTCTCGACTGCCCCATGTCTCATGTCAAAGTATCCCTGAGCAAGACACCTAACCCCTAATTGCTCCCTGGGCAAAATGTGAAAAGCCATGGGTTTAAAGTGTAATGTAAGTCGCTTTGGATAAAAGCGTCAGCTAAATGACATGTAATGTAATATATAGCTACATGGATAGGTGGATTATATATAGCTACATGGATAGGTGGATTATAGATAGGTGGATTATATATAGCTACGTGGATAGGTGTATTATAGATAGCTACATGGATAGGTGTATTATAGATAGCTACATGAATAGGTGTATTATAGATAGCTACATGAATAGGTGGATTATAGATAGGTGGAACAACAACATAATTGACAAGGCACTGTAGTTGTGTTGGCACGTTATAAGTCCCTCACAGAAGACAGAGACTGACAGATACAGATCATGGTTGAACGTTTTTACAGATTTCTGCTGCTCATTTGCTACAAGCTTGTCTGCTTTGTGACTTTCAGACAGATTAATAGGCGTGACAGCTGGGAGAGACAAAGAGGAGCACTCAGCAGCAGTAGAAGACAAGGGACAGACATCTGCTGACTTCAGCCGCATCTACAGCACAGGTGAGAGGTCGGCTTGTCCACTGTCACCAACCAAGCTGCGACTGGAACCTGGACGTTTCTGCCTCCCAGCAATTACATTCTGTTATTTTCTGTCAAATTAGGGAATTACTGGACTACATAATCCGTCTGTGACATTAACAAATCAATACTCAAATAATTAAATTTTCAAAAAGAGATGAACTATAGTTCCCCCATAGTATGATTTGAATGGAAATGTCTTTGGTACCTCATTTATTTCTATGTAATAAACACAGATGAGTAAAACTGGATTGAAATGATTGCTTGTAAAAACACAAGCCTATGCTTGTGTCTCTAGCGCCCATTTAAAAACTTAAAAAGCAAAAACCCAATAAAACGGTGTATGCCTGTCTGTACATGAGCATGTGTTCATCGTGTTTAGCGGTAAAGCATTACAAAATATAGTATTCTGGTGGCAAACTGCGTGTGCACAGGTATGGACGTCACGATTAAACAAGCTGTTACATGTGTCTATTTATTTTTACAGAGAAATGCATTTCTCTTTAACAAGGCTGTCAGTTAAATTTATCTCAAGAATATCTGTGGTTGTATCTGCACAGACCTGCTTCCTGCTCCAGGGGGTGAGGAGATGACCGGAGAATTTCTGAAGGAGCTGGTTAACATCCTGTTGGCTTACATCAGCAAGTCAAGTCAGCGGAGCTCCAAGGTACTTGAATATTTCTAGCATTGAATAACAGAGGGAAACATTGCTGTTTGAATTATGTGCAGAATCTCAGCACTCTTCCCAGTGACAAACCACATTTGCAAGGTGTGGAACATAACGCAAATAGATCATAATGCATATGCCCATATTTATATACAAATATATATACAAAATAAGGGAGATTCATTGTGAGACAAAGTACTTCCAGACTGAATACACACAGCTGTATATTCCATTAGTACTATATGTTCCAGATGACAAAAATTACAAGAATTACGCATTTTTATTCACCTGTCATTTATTGAAATCCAATGCATTTTCAGGTTAAGATAATTTTACAAAATCTACAAAAGCTCCGCTTGGACAAAGGAGCAGATATTAATATAATCTAGAATGTAAATTATGCTTACGACCTTATATGAAAGTTGCTTTGGCAGCATCGTCGCTGAGATTGTATAGACTATTATGAGTTTACTTAAACTACTAACAAGATTATTTTCATCTGTCTCTTAAACTTCCCAATACCGCAATTCCATATGCCGTCAGTTAAGCTAACAATGTTTATTTAGCCCTCTCGGTACTTCAAATGTCAGACTTGAAATTATGTTGAGTTGTACTTGTACTGCTCCCTGTGTTTTAGGTCCTGGACTTCCACCATCCTCACCAGCTAAAGGAGGGCCTGGAGTGCTTCACTCTGGACCTGCCTGACAAACCAGAACCTCTGGAGCAGCTACTAGTAGACTGTAGAGACACACTTAAATATGGTGTTTGTACAGGTGTGTGTGTGAATTGATCATTATTCCAAGTTTTGAAAGTGTTGCTCTATTCAGAGTCATTTATGTAGGGCTCCACATTAATTGAATGCATTTGCGTGCATCCCAATTAAGAGCTTGAAAAGGAGATAATACATGTTTATAAAGTGTAGGTAGGAAGTGGAAACATCCACACTGGTTTTTGAACTACTACTTTGGAGCCTTGATTTTGTCTGTCGTCACGGGTATTTTATGAACAAAAAATAGGACATGACAATAGACATATGAGAACCGATTGTACCGAATGTACTTCGAAATGTGGACACAGTTGTGATGGACTTCAAGTCTTCAGGCGGCTCGTTCCCGGCAGCAGGAACAGAGTTACTAACCTGCAGCCTCACAGAACCCGGATCTAACACTTGCTACAGCTAGAGAACGACTCGGGCTTGTTGACCTTAAAGGTCTTTTTAAGCTTTGAGCATTGAGTAACCACTGAATGGTGTTGTCTTGAGTAGGTGAGTAAGAGCATTGAGTAAGTCAGAAATGTACTGAGGAGCCAACCACTAAATGCGTAATGGACTATCATCAGGATATTGAAAGCAATTATTTATTGTTCCCTAAGCTAATATGTTCAATTTATTATGTATGCCTAAGTTGAGGTAACAAATAATGTGAGAAGTAGTGTCATTTTCTCATAAACCTCCATACAATCAAACTCATCATTGTTAACAACACACATCTAAATCAGAAGTATGTTTTAAGTATCAACCACTTCCCAATGCATTTTGCAAACAAAGGCAAACTGTAGACAATTAAATCCACTAAATGATTCAACACGTTTTAAACGGCAAAACTGACACTAGACAGTAATATTTGTGCCAGTCTTATTTCATCTCTTCCATGTTAAGCCATGGTTTCTGTCTTGTGTTTTTCTAGGTCATCCCCGGTTCTTGAACCAGCTGTCTTCTGGGTTGGATGTGGTTGGTTTAGCAGGCGAATGGTTGACCTCTGCAGCCAACACTAACATGTAAGATCTTTTCATCAGAAATGGAAAGTATTTAAGATTTTGTGCTTTTGAGGAACTTGTCCTGAACAAAAAAAATGGAACAGACGTACAAATGACATTGAAATGTTTCTTGTGATAATTCTACAAGAATATAATAAATTGGCGATTTCTTTAGATGATGACAGGTACCATAAAGTGTGGGTGCAGCTCACCGGGGAGACAGTGGCAGCAGCTACAGAGTGGGGTGAAGCCAACCTTAAATGGCCATTAGTGGAACTGCAGGTTTTGACACCTTAGCCCCTGCGCACTTTTTATACTTCCTAATCATAACCTGGGGTATGCTATTGAAAGTGTTAATCAGAGAAAACAGTCTTTGACTGTTTAAGATAAAGATACGCTTTTCTAGAACAACCAACAACCAATGTTTTTCAACAATATAACACAATACAACAAAAATCCTTTTGCCAGGTTTACGTATGAAGTGTCCCCTGTTTTCGTCCTCATGGAGGAGTTTTTGCTGAGGAAGATGCAAAGCATTGTGGGTTGGTCTGACGATGTGGGAGATGGAATCTTTTGTCCAGGTAATACATGCAAGGAAGGAACGACATAAATGAATGGATGATATCCACTGGTTAGGCTGCGGTGTATAAATTGGCATGCATGATAAGATAGTCTCGATGGGAAATTTGCACCTTAGATGGTGGTCCCTCACATCAATTTATGAATAACGGTGAATTAGTGAATGATGACACATGTTAAAGCGTTTAATTGGTTAAAAGACTAGAAAAGCGCTATACAAGTACATACCTTTAACCTTTTAATATTTCCCAAAGGTGGCACAATATCCAATCTGTACAGCGTCCTGTTGGCCAGATATCACTTCTACCCAGAGGTGAAGACAATGGGGATGGGAGTTCTGCCTCAGCTGGCCCTCTTCACTTCAGAACAAGTAATCATCCATCACATACCATTATTCTTTGGATGATTGAAGGTCTGTGCAGATTTAACAATGATCGAATTCAACCTGCCACTGATTAAAATTAGAGAAATGAAATATCAACAGTTTTATTATAAGATTGAATACAGAAATTTAGAGTTTTTCACAAAATAACAGAATCAGCCTCCATCAACGAAGAATAGGCCAATGAATGTACCGATCTAATACCAAATTATTATACAATTTATCAGCCTATTTAAATGACACAGGATCAAAACACACGTACTACTGAATATTTACATCTTTACATACAGCGAGCAATAATGTAGCCTACAGGGAAGGAAACCATGCTTTGGGAAGAATCCAATAAAGCACGTGGAACTTTTATTCCAGGCAGCACATTTAATAATATTGCATGGTACTGTTTTTAACGGAAAGTGGGTGGACCTAGTCACCATTATATCTCTCACCTCATCTTCAATCGCTTATCATTTCCAAGGCCACATTTAAGGATGCTTCTTGCTTTGCCACTGCTGCTTTTCATCGCCTTCGCAGTTTTCACAGACATATTTGTCCCGTATTTTCCTCCACAACTTTGTACACCCCTCAACCGGCAAACCGACGTTTGCGGAGATCTCCCTCCATTAATCCGAGGCCATCCGCGCGTCCTTATAGTCTGCCAATGACCGGTTCATTCTCTCGGAAAAAATCTTCGTTCTAATAACGGCGGTATTGTGCTATGAAACCGGAAATGTAAGACTCCATAAAGGATGTAGTAAGGAGACCAATCGCATCCTTGCAGCTGCAGGAGGCTTGCTTAGCTTTTGACGCTAGTCTAGAAAAATGGGTCGATGCACGCAAGGTGCGGTGGAAAGGCACGCAAGGGGAACGCAAGGGGCTCTTGCGTCTGCGTGTCCTTGGGTCTCTTTGAAAACGCAGAAGCATAAACTAGGCTTTACCAGCTCTGATGGGGGATCCAAAGGCGTTCCCAGGCCATTGTGGAGATATAATCTTCCCTCCTATAGTCCCGGGTCTTTCCCAAGGCCTCATCCCAGCTGGTTGTGCCTGGAAAACCTCCCTAGGAAGGCGCAAATGGGGCATCCGAACCACATGCCCGAACCACCTCAACTGGCTCCCTTTCTGGGCTTAAGCTCAGCCATCCGTGAGGAGCTCAGAGTAGAACTGCTGCCCCCTGAAAAGGAGCTAGTTGAGGTGGTTTGGGCATCTGGTGAGGATACCCCTGGGCGCCTTCCTACAGGGATCATGAACCATCCTTCATGACCATAGGTCAGCTCTCCTTTTGTCACTACGGTGCTGTAAAGCAAGTGCAATACCACCCCTGCTTACCCTGCCACTCTCCAGCCAAACTCACTTTTCCCTGAGGTATTTGAATTCCTTCACTTAAAGATACATTCTGTACTGCAGATCCTCATCCCGACTGCTTCACACTTGGCTGCAGCCGCTCCAGTAAGAGTTGGAGGTCACAGACCGAAGATACCATTTGTACAGCAACATCTGCAAAAAGCAGCAATAATATCCGTAGCCTTGTCAAACTGTAAACCCTCCTCCCCCTGACCAAGCCTCAATATTCTTTCCATGAGTACCATGAACCAACCCCCTGCGGAAACGGCTCCGACTTACTAACAAGAACCCGAACACAGCTCTCACTTTATGCAATGGATACAGGCAAGCCCAGATGGAGGGCTCGATGGCAAGGGTCTAGTAGGAGCCTCGCCTCGCAACAGCCCGAAGGAATGATGCGGTATCCCCCTACTCTCCTTCCCATGGGCTCACCATCTATGGTAGAAACCAAATAGCGGTTGATGCTGGCTTCGGGTGCGTGGAACCTCGACTCTCTGGGAACGGGGCGAGTGGGTAGTCGGAGGATGTGTGACGGATGGAGCACTATCCATTAGATCTGTAGGGGCTTTACCTCTACGCGCAGCCATCGGCTCAAGAACCGTTCTCTTTGATGGGAGGACTCTATTTTTACTCTAGGGTGGCCCACGGTGGTGAGGTGCCAGGCAGTTGGTGGGGATCCTAATATGTCAAAATAAGAGGCCGGGGCTTAGCTGCAGAAGCCCCAGCTGGACAAGAGGGGCGCTCCCTACGCCTACAACTATGACTGTTGTCTGTGGTTATGCACCAAACAGCAGTTAGGAGAATTTACTGAACGGAGTACTGTTCGGAGTTCCAGTAGGGGACTCGATAGTACTACTTAGAGACTGCAACGCACACATGGGCAACAACGGAGATAACTAGAGAGGTGTGATTGGGAGGAACAGCCTCCCTGATCTGAGCCCAAGCAGACGTTTGTTTTTGGTCTTTGGGTGTTGTGCTCCCAGGTGCTTCTGGAAAACCAATCGGCACCTCGGGAGGTGGAAATGGGGAATCATCCAAGCTGTGCACCGTAATAATAGGACAGCAACTGAGGAGATGTTATGGGGGTTGAAGGAGCACTTTGAGGAACTCTTGAATAAAACTACTATGCTGTCTTAGGTAGAGGCAGAGCTGGAGGCTGAAAAAGGATAATTTTCAATTTGAAGTAGTCTGTCTGCCAGACAAGTCTGCATTGGCAGTTGAGATTCACACAATCACATGTGTTTACTTACATAAAATAAGGCCTGGTGTTAAGACGCTACAACGCCAGAGAAATCTATTTTTGACCAATTATGTAATCTTACTGCTGTGTCTGGGTCGAACAAGAAGGAGTGCTGTCGGAAAAAGACCTCACACTTTTTAAAGTACAAGGTAAGATATTCTTGAGTACTCAAAGCTAGCCTGCAACCCTGACTCTCTTTCTCACCCTCACTCTCTTGGCTGCTTGTAACCTGAGCTGCTCAAGGGGGCTTTGTTCAAACACGAAACATGTCAAGTCCTCATGACTGTTTTGCTTTCGGGTTTTTTCTTTTTTGGGGGGGGTGGTGATGAAGCCGCAACCCCCCTATTGGCCCACCACTGGTATAAGGCATCAACGGAATACTTGTTAATAAACTTGGAAAAAATCTATTTAATGCCTTTATTATTTTTATTTTTTTATGTTATTTAATTAAAAAAACATATAAAACATTTATTTTCAGGAATAAACAAATCAGAAAAAAAATGTGAATATTTCTAAACCATAACATGGTGATTATTCAAAGAAATGATTCAGGAGACTCAGGAGCTGCTGTAGCTAGACCGCTTCTTTAACAATAGTTAGTAAGAAGTGTTTTTTTCAACTTGTGCAATTGAGGCCAAGTTTTTCGCTTCGAGCCATTCCCGTCATTCGCGCGTCGCCATTTGCATCATTGGCCCAGCTGGTGGAAATTAACGTTGTTCACAAACATCTGTGCTTTGACTGAATGGAATCTATTCACACGAAAAATTTGCTTTGCTTTTGGTGTGAACGTAGCATAAGACTCTTTTGTTGTAGTGTTTCAAATCCATACTTACATCGCTCTTGAGAAGAATGAATTTCCAGTTTGCTCGCTAATAGACTTGTGCAGTGATGACTTTTTAAAGATCAACATAAAAATGTAGCACTGCAATTGTTCCTTCAACAGGATTATGATAATTCGCAAAATAAGATCAGGATTAATCAAACGCATATTTTGTTTATTGTCATTGAAGAGCGAAAAAAGATTAGGAAAACATTGGGGTTGGGACATCTTTTTAGAACCAAACAATGCAGCCACAATTCTCGGCTAAAGGAAAAGTCCACCTTTTGCAGTTGCTTTGAATTGAGACAAATGAAATTTAGATGAATTTTTTTTTTTCACCCATTATAGAGTCACTACTCAGTCAAGAAATCTGCAGCAGTACTGGGGATGGGCAGCAAGAATGTGTTCATGGTGAAATGTGATGACAGGTGGGTAACTTCAAAGTACACAAACAGGTTTTTGGTGTTCAATAGGATGCACGACAATGGACATGTTTGCTCACCTGTTAAAGCTTTGTATGTATCTGTATGTTTGTCAATTTGTCCTTGCTGTGGGCGAGTGAACATTCTGGTGCCATGTTTATGGCATAGTTAACACACCTTATAGTCTCAAATTTAAAACACATTGTAGTTTTACTTCTGTTCAGACAGTGCATGTAGAAGACCGGCTGGTTTCCAGGGTTGTCCATCCTTTTATACACAATTCATTAATAATTGCTGTTTGCTGAACATTTGTCTCCTCTTGATCCCTTTAGTGGGAAAATGATTCCTTCTGAACTTGAGTCTTGCATCGTTGCCGCTGACAAAAAGGTATGAATACAAGGGCACAAATGTCAGAAAACATTCCTGTCGTTTTTATGAAAGAATACTAAATGTGTTTAGTGTGTGTAAGATTTTAGATTTTTTATCAAACCTCATCCCTGAATTTGGTCAAGATATGCTGTATATGATACGGCCAGTTATTGCTGGAATAGACAGAGCAGCAGTGACTGTTGATGATACCAGCCTCACTTCTCTCTCTCCAGGGGCTTGTTCCATTCTACGTGAATGCGACAGCGGGCACCACGGTGTACGGCGCCTTTGATCCTCTCGACGCCATAGCTGACATCTGCCAAAGACACACACTGTGGATGCATGTAGATGTAAGGTGCCGCACCCCTCTCTCCCTCTCTCCCCCCTCCCTCTCTCTCTCTCTCTCTCTCTCTCTCTCTCTCTCTCAAACAATAATTAGTAAGCGAACTTCTATCTGCTATTACGTCGTTTAGATCGCAGAAAGATGCTGACATTATGAGTAACTTCTACACTTCAACTTTATTTACTGTCTTGACTCTTCACACCTTGTTTTCGGTTGTAGGTTTCAAAGCCATAAAAACCGGTATGTGAACACGTAACACAATATGTAGAATTCGTCAACAACCCCTCCTGTTCTTGGAATTAGATGTTCTAGCCAGCCTAGTTGGGCTGCTCTTTAAATGGAAGATGATAATCTTATAACCGGCATGTGGAAAACATGTCTCAACTTAGCTGAGTTAAGCAGGTGTTGATGACTTGCAGTCTCTACCAACCTGTAAAGCAGAGTGAGCAGTCAGCACTTAATGGTTGTATATCAGACCAGTCATCTTTTTTTATGAACTATTGTTAAAATATTTTAAGTGTGCGGCACGGTTGCGTGGTGGTTAGCACTGTTGCCTCACAGGAGGAAGGTCCTGGGTTTGACTCCACCCAGTGGCCTTTCTGTGCGGAGTCTGCATGTTCTCCCCGTGTCTGCGTGGGTTCCTCCCACAGTCCAAAGACATGTGTTGGGAATTAGGTTAAAGGGTGGCTCCATGTTGCCCGTGGATGTGAGTGTGAATGGTTGTTTTTCTCTGTGTTAAACCAATCCAAGGTGTACCTGTCTCTCCCCCAATTGACTCATGCGACCCTGTGTGCAGGATAAGCAGTTTGAAGATGGATGGATGGAAAGATTTAGATAACATTGCTATGCTATTTTAATCTCTCTCTCTCTGTCTCTCTCCCCTTCATTCGCATGCCAAGTGTACGTTAATGGTCAAGTGTACGTTAGCGAAGGTTGACGTGTGGACTCAGATCATCTAAATAATAATGCTGAAACGTCCTTGTGGACGGAGATTGTATTCATTTTTAATTTTTCATTAAACAGATGAGATGAGATGAAATTTTAATTAATGCTTTCATTATTATTTATCAAAATAGCTTGAATGACTAAATTAAATTTGATCAATTAAAAAAATTAGTAAATATTACAGGTCATTTAGCTGACGCTTTTATCCAAAGCGATGTTTGGAAACTTGGCTTTCCTTGGTGAGCAGAGAACTCATCCAGGAAGTCGAACGTCGCCGGAGTCACATTGAAGACCGTTCGGTTCCAATCGCAACTCCTGCCGCCCTTTTCCATAGTCTCGTGTCAGTGGACATGACCCCAGCTCATCATCAGCTTTCCCGATTTACTTCAAAAATGAGCTAATTTCCTGCAGTGTGGGAAAATGACATTGAGCTCAGGGTTTCCACTTTTGCCTTGGATTTATTATAGCCGCCTGATGTCGATTTGGCGATTCATCAGTGGTAACATTGGCCAGTTTACACCAAAGTATCTTCAGCTTCTGGATGACAATGGACACCTTGTCATACAAGTCCTGGTGCCTTTTTAGAGATTCTATCTATTTTTGATTTTAACTCCGTCCCTGCAGGCAGCGTGGGGGGGAGGCCTGCTGATGTCAGACAGGCACAAGATGAAACTACGTGGCATTGAAAGGTAACTACATTCACTGAACCAACGCCTTCACCAAGCATGTCTTTGTTTTGTGTATCTAATAACTCTGAATTCAGCTTGAATAATAAAGCAAAACGATGATAGACTGAGACTCTAGACAAACAAATGGGGCTGTTGTTTTACCAAAGTTATTTGTAAATATATTTGAAGGGTATTGTAGGTGTATTTTGATCCTTAATCAGATAGGTGTGTATAAGATTCAGCAAATATGTATTCAGAATTAATATCAGTGTAAAATACCAGTCAGTAAGTGTTTGTTACATTTAAATATTTGTTTTCCAGAGCCTGGTCTGTAACTTGGAATCCTCACAAGATGATGGGCGTCCCTCTACAATGCTCCGTCATACTAGTCAAGAAAAGGGTAAGAAATGAGCCGCTCCGTGTGCATCAGGACTGCTAGGAAGGCTATTCAATGAATGTTTTTCACCTGAAGGCTGGCAATTTCTCCAAGCTTCAGGCATGACAAGTTCTCGTTGGTCCACCACATGAAATCTATTAGATGGATTACTATGAAACTACAGACATTTCCTAGGCTAATCGTTCTGACTCTGGGGGAGCCACAACTCTCAGCTTGTCAAAAAGGCGTCTTGATCGATGGCCATATGCTCCAAACGGTGGCGCTAAACAAGCTCCTCTAATGTTAGTTTTACACGGGAAAACTGCTCGTTACATGCGTAAAATGACTAGTTGAGGAAAGGATTGGGGTTTGGGTCAAAGTTTATACTATGGAAAAGTTTTAATGAATTGAAATTGTTACCAGCAGGAGGTCAGGCAGCAACAAAGAGGGTTTCCATTCTCATAGTATGAGTGTTTTAAAATAAATCAGGTCATTAGACCTTGTAGTTGGCTTGTATTCAAGGGTTTTATATACAATCCACCGTAACGTGGGATACCTGTCAAAGGATCCACCAAATACCCTCTCGGGAGGATCTATCTAGAACCTTTTCCCCTTTTCACGTTTCCACCAAAAAATAGTCCAAGGGTTTGATGTAGAACCCCAAAGGGAAAGGGCACAACCCACATCATGATTCAAAATCACAGTCTTTGTGGGCGTGTAGGTTTGTTTTAGCCCCTGAGGCATGCTGCTGTTGACTGATACTACAACCTTTTCTTTCTACTGCAAGGAATTTTATTACAGCAAGTTTCAGTCTGAATCTCTCTTTTTTTAATATTTGCTTCCCGATGAAATCCTGTTAGGGAGATCGCACAAGATACTGCATTGAGTACTGCTCTTTGTTTTTATAGGGTGCGATGCACCAATATGTTTGTGTGAGCATCTGAGAAGATTCTTCTAATGTGTTTGATAATGCAATCCATTCAAAAATCAGCTTAAATGTCTTAACTCCTGTAGTCTGAGCGGCATGGCCGTGCAGCCCTGGGTAAAAAGGGTCATTTTTATAAATGTACAATTCTTAGTGTTATAAATTGTTTATGTGTCACAAGCTGTTGTGTTGTGGTGTTTTACCCTGTTAAAGAGTGTTTGTTGTGGGTTATTCGTTGTTGTTATAAAGTTATAACCATGACTCAATCTCAACACACATTTACAATTAGTATTAGACAATTAGTTCCGACCGCTGGCATCCTCGTGGACGAGGATAATAATATTCTGCCACGATCAGTTGTTATGGTATATCACCGGTACGTAACGTATTCATACCATATGGAAATCTTATACCGGTTCACTGTGCAGCCCTAGTCTGAGCCCTGCCTGAAGGCTGTACCTTGATTGACTGTCTAATGTCTAATGTCTCTCTTCTTTCCAGGGTCTTTTACAGGAATGTAATGATTTCGGGGCTGAGTATCTTTTCCAGACAGACAAAATCTACGACGTGAGCTATGACACTGGAGATAAGAGCTTCCAGTGTGGACGACATGTTGATGTCTTTAAACTTTGGCTCATGTGGAAGGCAAAGGTATTCATATTGATTATCAGCGTAATCCTAGTGTGATGTGGTTAATATTCTATTTGTCACTTTGAACCAGATTGGATCTGATCGACATTCCTTCACAGGCTTTTTTACTAAATCCGTTCTGTCTGTTTATCTGGCTTCACACAAACTAATTTACTAATTTCCCTCAACCAAAACCAGAGGGAAATGGAATTGTTAAGGCTTCAAACAGGGACCAAGATGCTTCTGATGACAAAATGTGGTTCTACATGTGAATGCAGAATCCATACTTAGAGATTATTACCTCAGTGAACATTGTGGACATAAGTTTATTATCCCAATTGCTAGTTTCATGTATTTATTTGTTAAATCATGGCCATGTTGGGAGACAAATAGACCACAATGCAGAGAATGTTGTAGTGATGAAGAGGTCTCTACCCCACAATTAGCCGTCTTAAAAGTGTCCATGTTTAGACACACAACTTTCACTCTTTCAAAGTGTCAATGTATTCCGTGGCACTCGACCTTCTCCAGTCACTTCTCTCGCATAATCCAAGATGGCCGTAGACAGAAAACCAAGATGACCAGAAGGTTTCAAAATGTCTATTTCTTATATATGTCTAAAACAGTTACTCAATTGCATCTCAACATATATTAATCTAAAGGCCACATTCTCATGAGGAATGATCAAAATAAACATGTTGTTAGTGAAGTTTATAAATGAAGGACTAATATCACAACTGAAAAAAACAAAGGTTTGACCTAGAAGTTCTGTTATTCTTCATAAAAGGACAAGCAGGTGAGGGAAGTATTGTTCCCTGCAGAAGACCTGTGTAAGCAGGCACAGTAGCCACAAGAGAACAAGCATTTCTAAAAAAATATATAATAAAATGTTCACAGCTCAAACTAATGATCAGATGAGCATTTGCAATGACGCATTGGGAGTGGAGACAATAGGCTTTGTGACAACATGTCTACTTTTGTTTAATTTCTTTTGAAATTATTGATGTTTCTTAATTTTTCACTGATTAGTCCTAATCAAACCTTTTAAGTCTTCACGATTTCTTCATGACGTCCTCTTTCTGTCCTGTTTTTGACTGTGTCACCCTCAGGGCTCTGAGGGTTTTGGAGCTCAGGTGAACAAATGTTTAGAGAATGCAGAGTATCTGTATGATCAGCTGCAAAGGAGGACACACTTTGAACTGGTCTTGAAAAATAAGGTAAGGCTGGTGGTTACTGGTCACAGATTGCCACTGACCAGCTTTCAGAGTGTTTGCAGGCTTGTGAAATTTCACCTTTCTCACTCCCTAACTTATGACTGTAAATATATATTTCCTGGAGCTACTAGAGAGGAAATGCTGACTGCCAATTGTTTACATGTAATATGTTGTTAAACATACGTATCGTCCAAAATCATTCATTTTACAACCCGTTTTAGCCTTGTTGGAAACTACTGTATATACTGATAAGACAACCATGACCCAACACTTGAAATTGTACAGAATCGTAACAGGCACTTTCGTACTACAGTGTTTTCTTTCCATTTAAATCCCCAATCAATTCTCACTGAGCATATTTGTCCTCTGCCTCTCACACAGCCGGAGCACAGCAACGTGTGTTTCTGGTACATCCCTCCGAGTCTGAGAAGCCTGCCACCTGGACCTGACAGAGACGCGAGACTCCATCAGGTTAGTACGTCACTCAGTAACTGCCGCTAAATGGGTTAAAAAGCATTTAAATGAGACGGAGTAGGAAAAGTTTGACTCCTAATGTTTCTACAGGTGGCTCCTCGGATCAAGGGCAGGATGATGGAGAAGGGCTCAGTCATGATTGGCTATCAGCCTTTGGGGGACAAAGTCAATTTCTTTAGGTGTGTGTTCTCTAATCCAGCTACGCAGCAAGAGGACGTTGACTTCCTGCTGGAGGAGATCGCCCGGCTGGCCGATGACCTCTGATTGGATTGATGTCATTTTTAAGGAAATGCGTGCAATCGTATAAGTCCATCATTTTACTGTGCCATTAGTACATTGGATCCAACCTTGTTAGAGACAATTACTGAAAAATATGCTCTATAGCCTCATAGCAGTCTAATAAAAAGGATCCCTCGACCGATATTAAACCAGAAATGTTTACCAAGTTTTTCCTACCCTTTTATCGGGTCTGAATGAAGATTGCACTCTTTGCAGTCTTCAAAGATCTATCTTGCTAGTTCCAACAAGTCATAATTTATGGTCATTAGACAATTTTGAGTAAGCACCGGTCTGTTTTTTTGGAGTTTTATATTTAGCGCACTAAATGGATTAACATTACAGACCTTACTTTTAACGGCCTTAAAATTCTGTAGATCAGTCCGATTTCTCTTCCCGAGCACATTAAAGTCAGCAGTAGCCATGACATAATCCAAAACAATGACACCGTAGGAGCTAAGTGCCACAGGCAGTAAACGGATACAATTAACACGTAACTCAGTCCATGAAATATTTCATGCTTCGCATGCTTTAATATTCAGACAAGCAGATTTGGAAAAACACACCAAAATGACTGACCTTTAAAAATCTCAAATTCTATTCAATGATATGCAAACTTCTGTTGCAACAATTTAGTACAAATCTATGTTCCTTCTTGTGCCACCATTGCTTCTCCAACAGCAACATTACTCTGGACGCACATTAAATTCATTCAACCCCAATCAAGCGAAGTGGACTAGTAGACAGTTCATTTAAACTTAGTTTTCCTTAAAAAGCAGGGTGACATTCCCAGTCCTCAGTACTTCTACCCAGCTCGTAACATTTTATACTACGGTCAGAGTCACTTAGAAAAGACACCGTTTTAAGTAAAAGTGCCTCAAGCATATCATGTTATGTTTAAGTATAATTTAAAGGAAGTCAGGAAATAAAAATGTAAAGAACCTACTTTAAAGTTAGTTTGCACATCACTTATTCTGAATAAAGTGAAACTAAAAAATGAACCATGATTTTTTAATAAAAGAAAAACAATATATATAAACAATTTATTAAATAGATTACATTTTTAATTTAAATACATTAAAAACATTTAATTGAATCATTAAAACCCAGAGCCTTCTTGTAGCTTTCAGTCAGTGTGCAGTACCACGTGTTCCTTCCATTTCCACCTAGAAGCAAAAAAGTATTTTAGGTAAAGGAACATTTATATCCGAGTAGACCAGTGAATAGTTTGCCAGTGTAATGCAAACCGATTCATTTCAAATAAGAAACCAATGGTATGATGAATCCGTTGTGAATTCCTCGTCAGCACAGATACTGAAATCCCACAAATGTACGTACATTAAAGCTCAGAAATCCATCTGGTATAGAACAAAAACCAGAAAGTTTAAATTCTCACCTTGGCGTTTCACCGGTTTACCATATCAGTTAGCTCCGGTTGGCTGCTTTGCTTTTCTGTAGACAAAAAAAAAAAAAAAAAAAGTTTTGTTTAAGGGAGAAATCTGTTCTCCCAAGAGCATTTGGTTTCTGCTTTTAACAGCTTGTGCCCTTTACCAGTCAAGTCAATTTAGAATCAATAAGAAATGTAGGTACTAGGGAGACATTTTAATCTTTTGTCCCTTTTCAGATGGGAAACTAGTCCTAAAAAAGGCAATTCAGGTAGCACACGACAGAAAAGTTGATTTCTGTTACTAGCCAAACCCAGCAATTTCTTTTAACAGTATTCATGAACACATTATTAATTCAATTTTTGGTAGGTGAATGACTCAATTTTTTTTACCTGGCCCTCTGTTCCTCCATTGATTTTTCTTCGGTTTTTCCTGTATTGTCCCTTGTTGATGCCATCGGCCTGGCCAGTGATTGCCTTCTTATCTAGGAGAAGAATAGATTTGAACGCACTAAACCCTTTTGTCAGGAGCAGTACACATTAGTCACGATTGAATTTAGAGAATCACCTGCCCATTTTAAATGATTCCTTCTGCCTGCTCCCATGTCGTTTTCCACCTTCTTGCAATTGCAATCCTGTAATTGGAGATGGCACTGAGTGCCACAGTCCACTAAATGTCCCTTTGACGGAGACACTTCGGAAATCTTCTGATCTGCCATCGGGACACACAGTTTCTCATTACTTGGTTGACTGACTTTGTTCCCACAAGCTCCATCCTCAGCCACATCTACGCCTTTCTGAAGAACTATTTGGCCTACTGATGAGATTTTCTCCCCTGCACCAAAGTTCAAGAGGAGCGTTCCTTCCTGCTCCTGTGAGCTGGGGCTTTTCTCCTGCTGTTCATTAACAAAGAGCGATTGCTGGTTTGGGCTTTGATTAGCCTCAGGTTCAGAAGACCTATTTTTATCCACATCCTCTTCAGTGGCAGTAGATAGCGCTCTGTTGCTTGGTGGCAGGAGAGTCTGGGAAGCAAAGGAATCCTTGTCAGAAGGATTATTAATTTCTGAAGCATCAATTTTACTCTCAGTTTCTGGCTTCTTTGGTATACTTCGCTTCCCATCAGGGGTACTAAAAGTGAGCCAGCTGTCCAACATTAGATCAGAATCAGAAGACATAAGAGTCTGACTCCGCTCTTCACCAGCTTTGACAATTGGGTTGTTCAGAGTCGACAGTCCTCCATTTTCAGTTTCCTCTGTCATCTCAACGATTGCCTGATGGTCAAACGTGCTGTTCTGCATAAGCCAATCTTTACTGGGGATAAAGGGTGCCAGAGATTCCACAGACCAAACAGACTCATTCATCTTTCGCTTTATCTGACCACCATTTAAAGACATTTGATAGGGAACAATGTCTGCAGTCTCTTCCTGTAAATTTGTCCAGTTGCCATAGTCTTGCCCCATTGAATCGCTTAGTGAACACAGCAGTTCATCTCCATCGGGTGGTAAATGTTTAACCGGACAAACCATTCCCCACCAATCCCCCATTTTCTCTTCTGTACTCAGCTTTTCGTGCTTCATGAGCTGCTCTCATTTTGAGGATCTTAAAAAGGGTCGTACTGTCCCCTGAGCTTAAGTTCCCTTCAGCATCATTAGCGAAAGCACCACCAGCAACAGCTGGACTTTTTACGGTCTCAGTTGGATGATCTACTTCGGTTGAAAGATCATTCAGAGGCTGCTTCTCCACCAGCGACAGAATTGTAGTCTGTGTTGTACCACCTCCCCAACTCATCAGAATGTCAGGAACAGATTCACGTCTCTCTAGGACAACCTCCTCTTGTTGAGAAGAGCGACACACCGGCTCCAGTCCATCTGCAGAACTCAGTGACCACACATTAGAGTGAGAGTCTCTGCAAGGGGGAACAGACTCCTGCTCGACCTCATCTTTATGGCTCGGCTTCTTTTCTGGAGGTGCTTTGACATGTGCCTGGACAGTTTTTGTTCCTTTAGGCTGGAGGATGTCAAAGCAGTGTTTGACTGTGCAAGTTGCACTGGTCCCTTTTACTTGGTTGTCATTTGAGTCACGACAGGGTAAGGTATAGTTGTCAACCTCAGCAGTACCTCGTTTCTCAGAGGTGGAGCTCAAAGGTGAATTTGAGGCAGTACCACGGCCAGAATCTAAACTGACGACTGGGCTTTCCTCACCGTAGCTACTAGCACCTCTTCTCGTAGGTTCCGTTTGGACCTCAGAGTTCACAGTTTCTCTAACATTGCCTATATACGGCAGACGGACTCTGAGGCCCTGGTTAGGGTTCTGATAAGGTGCACTGGGAGCGTGAACCTGGGGGTGCATGAAACGTCTGTAGTCTACTGGTTGCATGTGAGTGTTGGGAAGCACATAGGCTGGTGCCTCCATGTAGGGAGGAGGGGGTGGATGGAATTGGGGCATTACCATACCATAGCCTAGAGGTAGATAAAAAGGATAAACATATTAACCAAAATGATAGTCCAAGGGGGAGGGAGTAGTGGGTCAATGTCTAAATCCCCAATAAAGTGCTACCAAACTTAATTGAAACCAGAAACTCACTCATACCTGGGAAGCCGGCAAACGGGTTATAGGAGAAGGGCATGGGCCACTGGTAGTGGAGGAAAGGGGGTGGGGGTGGACCATGTACGTAGAAGACTGGCCGGGCAGACATGGGGTGTTGGAGATAGGATGGAAGTCCTGGATCTTGGCTGGTGCCGTGCAGTCCTGGGCCTTGAGGGTAGGAGGTTGGTCCCCCGCCATTAATGCAAGTTGGCAAGTTCCCTCCAATTGGTCCTGGATGAGTTGGTCTGTTGACTGCTGGCATTGCTGCCATATTTAAACTACAGAAGGCGGCAGAAGAGGAGTTTGACAGTTGTGCATACAAATTTCCCAAAATAGCTGGCCACTGGAATTTAGCAAACTGAGTGCGTTTTATATGACCATTTCCTGCACTACATCGATAACCTCCCTGAAAAGAAGAATTAAGTCAGCCTTTTCTTTAGTTACACAGCAGTGACTTGCTAACTGCACCGCTCTTCATAGAAACGTTAATGCAGGAAAACTCCAAATCAATTTAACTAAGCAGACCCATTTATAATATGCATTGAGGGCTGAGTTTTGCATTTCAACGAGATTAGGTCAACAGGCTGTACTGATAAAAAAAAAAAAAAAAACTTCTCATACTTTGAATTTACCATCATGCTCCCTATATGTGAAACACAGACAAACATCCTTCTGCAAAGAGTAAGTTCATCTCCACGTCAAAATAAGCAATTTCTTCACAACACATGACCCTTTGATACATGAAAAACTACTCCATTTAATATACGGTCTTCACATAGTTTGTTATTATGGTCCATGTTTCAATAGTGGCAACATCTAGTGAGAGTTTGCGCTTAACTAAAACGTTCCCTTTGTGCTGATACAGAGGGAGGGTGTCTTTGTCCGTTCTGTGCTACAGTAGAAACATGGCAGCCTGCTTCATGAAGAGGATTCCTTCAAAGGTAATGGAACCAACAAAATGGATGCAAGAAAACAGTTCTGCCAATAGAGGTCCCTAAAGTGAACACAATATTACTCTGCAGAGTGAGTTGAGAGAAAGTTATTGAAGCGCATTAACATGTTCTAGTAGAAACGCAAAATAATTTGTATGAAGCGGAATATAGTTATCCTTTAATAAAGACGTGTCACAGCCATTTGGGAGAATATCTTGAAAACGGTTGAAATAAATCACACAAACCAAGCATAATAGTTTAATGAAATATTTACATTCAATATTTCTCTTTGCACCATTTGCCTTTCACCATTTAAAAAATTAAGTTTCTAAAGTCAAACTGCTTTCTGAACTTAAATCTTAATAACTTGAAACTCCGATCTAAATTTAAACACTCAAGACAAGATTTAACTGAATCACCAAAGAGCGGAATCATTATTCCAAATCAAAATCACAAAGTTACTTTACCTTGTTGAGAACTGGTTTGTGAAGAACACAGAGGAACGTGGAGTTTTATTGGGATCAATTCACACTCCTGGGTTTAAGTAGCCGCTGATCAGTCACATGTGCACACCATCAGCTGATTAGGAGCACTGGAGCCACGAGGCAACACTGAAGCCTCCCGCACTTAGCCGCCCAACACAAAACAGGTCTCAGCTGGCTCTTCTCGTTTCAAGATGCCATCCCACATTTGTCTGGATTTTGTTTGTTTTTAAATGCAGTAGCTCCTAACTTATACCTACACATATATTTTCCTAAATCAAAAGCTTCAAAGTACAATCAATCATCAAAAGCTCTTAAAGGTGAAGGTGTTAGTCATTGCATAATTGACTTTTGCGGCCTTTTTTTCATACATACATCGAAGGCAGGTTTGTGGATTTTTCTCATAGTTTATTGGCCAACCAAACAATAAAATGAAGAAAACTCCTGTTGTTTCAACAGATGGACAGGTCTATTATTATTTGACCCCATTTATTTTGGAAGATGAATGCATCAACAATGTTATGTTCTCCAGACAAGATAACCTTGGGTATTAACAGTAACTCACCCGTCAGGGCCTCCATATCTAATGGACAGATCTTTCCTTTTTCATTGGAGATTTACAGTCTAGAGGTCTGGTGATGTCTAGTATGTTTGTGTTTGCTGTATTATCTGTATCAATGTTGGAACTGTAAACATAGTCAGAAGGAAAAGATCATAACCTTAGTGTACCCTTTGGGAATGGCACAAAAAAAACAGTGGTACACAAAGTTTTTTTTAAAAACATATTATGAAGACTTTATTATAGCATATTAAAAAGGTAGTTAGAAGCCCCTTTGTTATTTGCCTGATGTGTATCTCAGAGCTCTTCAACTCAACAACACAGTAAACTACTTATAGCACAAACCTTTATTGTGATGGCTAGCAGAGACCAATCCAGGTCTGCTAACCCGACGGAAAGATCCCGGCAGGGTTAACAGGTGGGCTTGTGCTGGCTAGCAATGTGGCAGCCAGAGCGACCTCTGTGGACAGAGCCTGGAAGCACTGGGGCTAGTGGGCTGAATACTCTTCTGAGTTAAGTTGAAAGCTTGTAAAGCGATAGTTATCCCCCGGTGAATGCAACCAGAGAGCTGAGAGCTAAAAACTGCTAAAAGGTTAAAAAAATATAAGACCGCAACATCAAGGCTGCCATCCACCCTCATCTTAGAACGAGAACAGTGCACACTGCACTCACAAATACAAAAATCTGCGTCTATGTCCCTTAGCAACCAACAGACAATGAATTTTCTTTCTCTCAACATGTCTCAGGCTGAAACCCCCATTCTATAATGCCAGGGTTTGGCCCAGGTACGACAGCCATCAATGGACCAGAACCCGTCTCAGTGCTGTTTGCCGATAAACCCAGCTACCATGTCTCAGCCTCAATAGGGCAGTTTCTAAGAGGCCTAATTGGGCCCAGATTCTGCAGCAATCAACGGCCCGGAACCTGTGCTTCAGTGCTGGTTGCTGATAAACCCGGCCGCCATATCTCAACTAGTTAAGGCCCGTTGCTATAAGGCCAGATTCGGCCTAGGTTTGGCAGCCATTAACGGGCCGAATACAGCCATGCCCGCTGGCTACCCGGGTTGATTATGAACTTTTTGTTTGTGGTGGGGGGGGCGGGCTGTGAATTTGCACAGTTCTGTTTTCGAAAAAAGGGTTGGAAATAAATGCTAACAAAAGTGGTCGAAAAGCCCCTCAAGGGGACGTACCCTTGGTACTGGAGACCCTGGACGTGCCTCCTTTTGAATCTCGAGTCAAGATAGCTATTGGCCAAAAATAGATTTTTCCCCTTTCCCGCTAAACCTATAGGCTAGCTGCATGCCTTGTTGGTGGGCAAATCATGTCAGAGGTTCACCTCACATGGCTCGATCATTAGTCTGTGATATATCTGCTGCGGCCACAGGGGCATCAAAGAGCACATTCACCAAGCACTATAGAGTGAACGTTGCCACCCTTCTTTGGCCAAAGGAATCTTCCTGTGGTTCTATGAATCCAGGATGACTGCCAGAGTTCTTGATGAGTTGGAATCCTGTGAACTGTGAAGATTACGTAGGACTGATCTCAGGATGACACCGGAACTTATCGAGGACTGGGGGGGGGGTCATCCGAAGTCACAGGTAACTTTTTGTTATGAAGACTCAAAACAGTACAGTTTTTATTTCAGCAGCTGTGAGGGTAGGAGGGGGGTTTAGCTTCTTATGGCCGAGCTGCAGCTACAGCGGGGTGTGTGTGTGTGTGTGTGTGTGTGAGGGGATGTGAAATGATACAGCTCTGGGGAAGAAGCTGTTCCTCAAGCTGTTTGTGCGTCTTTGCTTCTAAATCTGAAGGCAGGGAGACAAACAGACTGACCTGGATGGGTTGGGTCCTTGCTGATGTTGCTGGTCTTCTTGTGTAGACAGCTAGCATACACAGTAATAATAATAATAATAATAATAATAGACAGTGCATATTTCTGCATGTACACAACTAGCGGTAGATGTGAACACGTTTACTTTGTGCCTCCTTAAACTGATCTCTGGTCTGTTCAACGAAGCAACAGCACAATATGTGGAAAAAAGAAATATTAGTGACAATAGCAACAAATCTGCGACCACAAACAAAATGAGTATTGCTGTATACATGGATGAATGAAAATGAATCAGCATGTAGTCAACCATTGTTGCAGACACAATCCTATTGTCCCCAGATTATTATTATTATTTATATAATTATTTATATTATATAATTATATAACGTTTTACATTAAACTTTTCTTCCAATATTACCATGGCATACGCTTGCCTCACACACGTATTTCTAGCACAAACACTTTCAATTGCGTTGACGAGTTAAGTTGCTTTTTCATTTTATTAAAAGTATTTATGAAAGTGTACCGCAGGGCTGCCCAGCACGCGCTGGGAGACGTGGTCTCACGTGAACAAGCTCTCCCCACTGCCCATGTTGGAAAAGGATGCCAGAAGTGATGTGGAAGTACAGAGCCGTGTATAACCAATGCTATGATGTTTGGGGTATTATGATATTTATGGCAGGTATTGCATCAAGCTGATTTGGTATCATTTTGGTATTGTGACAACCCTAAATACAATATATACAAACAATGGCAGTGCAATGGCCCATTTGTATAAACATTTGTTTTTGAAAGTGCAGGAGCTTTGACCCTCTGCGCTGTTTGGACTACCTGGGCCAGGTCTCTCCGCTGTGTCTCTAGTGAACCACAAGGGGGCAGTGGTAGAGAAATAACTCCATAGTGCTCCTGTAGAAGTTAACAAGGAGCTGAGAGGGGAGTTTGGTTTCCTGGAGTATCTTCAAGAAGAAGAGCCTCTGTAGGGGCTTTTTCACCAGGTCGGAGGTGTCGAGGGCTAAAGACAGATCCTTTGTTCCGTGGGTTCCCAGGAATTTGAAATCAATGAAACACTGAAATATTTTCATTGTAAATAAATAATGGTCCAAATAATGCAGAACAGTATTACAAAATGGAAAAATCATTGAGGTGGTGCCCTGCAGAAGTGTCCTCATACAAGGTACAAGATTAACCTTGTATACCCTTCATCATGATCAATAAAGCTTCATTGCCCTCAGCTCTGTCCATGGAGAAAGAATAGACGGCTTTTCCTGCAAATAACAGATGACTACAAGTTTAACTACCTGGAGAGATTCCACACCTACACACTACATAAAGAGACCTCTGGTTGGAATCAAACCCAGATAATATGTACACAAGGTGGCTCTGTCTCTTCTTTTTTGATAGGTCTCTTTCAGTACCAGCCATGACCTCTGATTGGCTGTTTGGTTGGATCACTCTTTCTGCGTACTGACTGGCGGGGCTAGCAAGAGTTCAGAAACCAGAAATTAAAAATGAATTGATGAAACTGCTTCGCTGTTCTATGTGAATGTAAGAGCTAAACCGTGTTCAACACGGAAATTATCTTGACCTTCTTCGGACACCGGGACACATCTATTGGTGCTGGTGCTGTGCCCAGTAAACTAGGACTTCCGGTCAACCCACAAACACCCCTCACAAGACATCATATGACCATCCCACACATAGCTGTTGCACTGTATGCAGCCAAGGGGTTCGATAGTGATTATACATTTAGAATCATTATCGTTATCCAAACTCCAGGAAAACTGACTGCACTGGTTCACACACAGAAATATGTTTGAGGCCATGAACCCCAGCAGGATAATCAAGGTGTCCCACGAGGGCAAATGGCTGTTTGATAAACACAGAGCTCACGTCAGCCCCAAATTTTTCCAACGGAAAGCTGTTTCCACACAAACCCCATCTATATTATATGATATGAACATGCGGTTGTCATGGTTACTGTTGTTACTCAGCCGTGGAGAGAGTGGCATTGTGTGTTGATGAACATGGTGGGGGGGAAGGGTGCGTGTAGGGCCAGAGAGGGAACGTTGGTGAGGGAATCCTTTCATTACATAATATTTGGAGTTAACACAGACGATAAGTCATGCATCCCTCCATTGTAGCGGGGCAGATCCGGTAGAGCAGCACATTAACAAAGAAACAAGCTTACAATCACAACACCACCATCATGTTCAAAACTCCAAACCATTTTCAATTGCTCTCTCCTCCCTTTATCTGCCTCTACAACAGTGGGCTGGTCTGTGAAGCCAAAACCTCCCTGTCATGTCCTGATACCCACACACAGTGAATGTCTCCAGTTTGCCTTTGAAGTGGACATTGCATTGTTGGCTATTCTTTGTAGTTCTATGGTGCTACTGCCAATTCTTGGTCATCTGTCCTTATAAATATCCTTTCCAGATACAGAACCGGACCAGAAAGTCTGGACCGTTAAAAAGACAGTAACGCAAGTTAGATCATTCCTGATTCCTTATTTTTATAGTTGCCTAACAGTCTTCATCATACATGGGCAAGATGATTTGTTACTACAGAACCATATGGTAAGATATCATTGGAAGTTGTTTGTAAAAGAAAGTATATTTGGAAGGTTACTGGATGAAACATCTGTCAAACTCTTACCAAAGCCAGTCACACGTTGGCACAAATCTCTTGGGTTTTGGCAACAGATTTAAAGTTTAAGAAAAGATTATGTTTTGGGTTTAAATAAACCCTTTGTAACAGGGACTTGTTATCCTCCAACAGGAGGAAATCTTTTAGCATTATCTGTCACTTATTTGAGAAACTAAATATTGTCTGATTTTTACTTACTGTGTTTTTTTCTTTGTGATTTTTTTCTTTGACACTCTCCCTCCCATCTATCCCTGCGGCTGAGACACTGAAAAAGATTGTTAGAAAATGGCCAAAGGCCAAGGCCGTCCGGCTAATGGTTTTTGATGATGAGGACTTGCACAAAGGAGTCACAAACAAACAGACAAGCATGGTTACATAAGACCATTGCTAGCCAATATCACTCAACCCCCTTAAAAATGTGGCATTACTGTTTTACAAATGAATTATAATAAAGCCTTCATTCATAATTAAAAAATGCAACAATCCTTCCTCATTAGCCATCTCATAAAATCCGGCACATTCCTCCGCTCTAAGGATGTGATTAAATTCAAACAGCCTTCAGTTTTTGTCTTTGGGCCTCTTTAAAAGGTATATAATGTATTCATGGAGTTCAATCAATGTGACATGTTTCCATCAACATACTATACTTGCTCATAATGGCATCTTAACATAGTTAACATTTGTCTACTGTATTACAAAATACATCTGAGGCTGTAGGAATTGGTATTAGGAAAATGGAAAATGTTGATCTGGCTGTCAGGAATCAAACTACATTACAATTCATCAAACAGTACTGAGAAAAGGTGCTGAAAACTACAAATATCAAGCACACGATGGAGCAAGAAGAAACGTCAGAGGATAACAAAGGTGATTAAGGCTTCATCCTCTACATGGCAAACCTTCAAATGGTAAGGTATTTTATTCTGGACCAAAGTGGTGACCAACAGGCCGGCATTACTAGCATGGCTAACGGTAGAATATTTGTGGAATGTCCATAGACTCTATTGACGTAGTCATGGTGACGGTAGCAAGGATCGAGCTACGGTGTAAGGTCGTGTACACAGACTACAAAACTTTGGTAGGGGTCAGTTATAACATGTGTTTATTTTGATTTTGTTGTTTGTTTGTCCCACTCCCTCTCTGGCGCTCTCCTGCCGTGCCTCTGTGCCCACCGGCTCGTATGAGCCGCCTGTTTCATTCTCTAAATCCTGCTCACTGTTTATGTACACGGGAGACAGTCAGGATATCGATGAGCTGTGCTCGTTTTACACTTCAACTGCTCCCCTGCAGCTGAGCTAACCACACCTGCCACCACAGTGACATGGGTTTCATGCCTTGAGTTTAGCATTTTAGGAGTCACCATCTTGGATTTTAGCAACCAGAAAGAGGTATCCCCCTCCTAGAGCATACCCTTCTTTATGACAAGAGGGCACTAGAGCGGGTATATAAAACGTCCAAGAACATCATAGGAACCCATCTAATGGGCAGACATATCACCTAATAAACCACTAGACCTCAGAACAGCTTTTTCCTCTGGCTGTGAGACTCCTTTATTAACTCCTACTCCCCCGCCACATATCATTGTGCAACCCTCCATCCATCCATTGTCAAACCGCTTATCCTGCACACAGGGTCGCGGGGGGGCTGGAGTCCATCCCAGCCAACTTCGGGCGATAGACAGGGTAGATCCTGGATTGGTCGCCAGCCAATCGCAGGGCTACACAGAGACATACAACCATTCATACTCACATTCACACATCTACGGGCAATTTAGAGTCCCCAATCAACCTGATCCCCAGAGCATGTCTTTGGACTATGGGAGGAAGCCGGAGAACCCGGAGAGAACCCACGCAGACACGGGGAGAACATGCAGACTCCACACAGAAAGGCCACTGGGCGGAATCGAACCCAGGACCTTCTTGCTGTGAGGCAACAGTGCTAACCACCACACCACCTTGCAACCCTGTTGTACAAAATATATAGGGAAAAGATGAGATAAGATAAACTTTATTGTTCCGCAAGGAAATAGGTCTTGGGCTTCAAGCTGCATCACATCCACATTCAGGGAATTAAACTACCGCATTTAAGTAATTAATTACTGTACACAACATCCTGCCATGTAAAGTTAAAACCTAGGGGAAGGACGCTTAAACCTTCCTGGATGGATTTCTTCCACATTTTCTCCCCAAAGAGGGTTTTATGGAAGTTTTTATCTCCTGTCAGGTAGTGAATGAGCCAAAGGATGTAGGACAGCCCTGCAAGGCAAATATTAGATTTTATTAGATAGAATAAAGATTAAAGATTTTGGACCATAACAACTGAGTTAAACATAATGGTTAAAATATGATGATTTAAGATGTGTTATTATTAAAATGTACCAGCTATCAGATGATTATGCACGCTATGTTATGTTTACATGAAGAAGCTTTAAGCCAAAGGTGTGATCATTGAATGTAGTATTAAGTGAACAGGCCACGGTCAGGTCAATGAGGGATTTGGGATTCGGCTGATGGAGCCAGGAGGGAGTCATGTGGAAGATTGGAAGAGCTGGCCTTAAGATACTGTATTTCACTTTGTAATTGTATTGCTTCTGTTGGGCATTAAATTCTTTATAATTTTTAAACTTGAGCCAGTTGATTCTTTTGACCTCACCTCCGGCAGGGGCGAAGGAAAAATGTGCCTTTGTTCTGCTGTTAGAAGCCACAATACCATACCACAATTGATTGCCTTTCGAATTACATATATAAATTTCATAATTTCATTTTGGGTATTTTACACCTACATAAACATATATATTGTGAAGACTTGAAAATAATGATAAATACATCAAGTGACAGTAGGGCCCAAATTCTCATACACATCCAATCCAAATTATTTTGGCAACCAAAAGAGTCACCGGCTGAAAAATACAGTTTCAAGCCTTCACATTGTCTTCGCTTCTCAGAAGCAGAAAAAAACACTCATGCTGAAAGTTAGGAATATTTATTGATAAAATAATTTCTGATCACAACAGATTAAAAACACTTTAAAAGCTTCTATCGCACCATTACCCCACTCTGAAAGCTGATTGTTTCATAACATTGATATAAAAGCTAAAAAATGTGACATTTCGCTGGTCTCTGTCGAATATCTGCCACTGATCACACTTCAGTCAGATGGAATGATGATTGATGAGTTTAGACATTGCTGACACTGTTGGAAATTAATGTCAAAGCCTATTACCTATGTTGATACTGCAGCGTGTGTTAATATATTGGCACAAATTGATCATTTCAGTTATTTCTTTACAACTTGCACTTTTGTCTTGAAGGCAATATTTAATGCACTGTGGTGATAGGTAGTTCAGTTGTTATAGTTTCTTGTTTAATTATCTGAGCCATGGATAGATTGAGGTGAGCCATGACCACAGAAATGTAGATCAGTGAAGTTCAACAACAACAACAACAACAACAAACATGTAAAAACGAAATAGCTAAACTTCCCTCTGGAAGCCCAAGAAACATGTATAAGTGTGGGCATACAACATACTGGAACATTCCAAAGCATCATTAGCTGATCATAAATCGAAAAGCCTTCTTGTGTACATGCACCTGCCAGTTTCTAATGGTGTCAGTGCACGACTGGGTCAACATGAAAGGTTACGTATCAAACAAATCTCTGACCAAATGAGGCATCAATTGAAACTTTAGCTTGAACAATCTGTTGGCGGCACAATTCACAACACAATGTAATACGTAGCAGCAAATCAACTTCAGGGAGTTGATGAAGGCATTTCAAGCAAGGCAAAGCACACTGATTAAAAACAGAGTAAATATGAATCTATATTATTAGTAAATATCCCTGCAGAACATTTAGGCCTACATCCAAGTCTTATAGGCCACGTGGCCTTTTGCCGATAACTGTACTAAATAGTGAGCATCATCCAACAATATAGAGTTGCCTAAGAATTCTTTCTTTCTTTTTATATTAAGTGCATTAATGCTAAGAAAAAAGGATATACCTGTTGATTTGGATTATTGTATCCATGGAAGTTCCCTTCAATGACACACACATAACTTTTAGAACATTTTATAACTATTTGGGGTAGATTTAGTCTCTCATAAAGCTAACTGTCTTATTATCTATCGACCGAAACTATAAATAAAGAAAAGCTTAGGTTATTAGTTATAGTGGCAAGAGAGATGGGTTGCATAACAATTTAAATGAAATCTGGATACAAATATGACCTATATCCAGTGTCAAAGCTTAGAAATGCCTCAACGTAAGTTAATTCAAGACACATCCAGTTAGTCTATGTCAATAACAATAACACATAAAAGCAAAAAAGGCCTGTACTCTTCAGGTAAATATTAACAGTGCTGGTAAGTAATATAATCTACGGGTACACTGCATATGGAGATACATGAGGCAGGGGTTTATTTGAAGGAGGCGCGGACCTGGCGGCCCTTCAGAGCCTGACAGGGCCGGTAGTTGTCCACCATGCAGCGCGGAGCATCTCCATCTCCAGAGAAGAGAAGGCTGCGAAACTTGGCCATCTAATGAGGAAGGAGAGACAAGGAGAAAGATGATTCAAGTAAACATTTTCGATGGATGAACTCCTCTTGACGTCAAATCCGCGTTGATTCTAAAAGCTATAACGTCATCGTCACTGAGAGCACAGGAGGGCCGGATGATTATATAACACGTTAAGACAAGAATTCGCAAATATGTAGGTAGTACCAAAAGAAATAACACATGCTATTCAATGAGAAACCCATATATTCTGTGTCCAGAATAATTCATGTGATAAAATGGTCACATGGAACACGCATGATGAAACATTCCCATGATCCATTGTATCCTCAGTTATTATGCTTCACTTTGATGTACGTAGGACAAAACAGGTCTGCAAAACAGTGGTGTTTGCTCCTCTGCTGCACAGGACTGATCTATAAGGAAATCTGGGTGCAAACAAACCTTTTTGAGAACTACTTTGGCAATGGTGCACCATATTCTTCTCGCCAGCCTTTAAAAGCACGGTGTTTTTGTGAAGGGGGTCTTAGAGAGAAAAACACTGAGGCAGAGCGCTTCAGACAGGTGAATACAGGTGTGTTGGACAAACACAATTGTGTCTTATTTGAACATTAAAGCATGTAAGCATGTAATAGTAGAAACCTGAAATACAAATGTAGATCTGAAAACGAGCATGATGTGGCCCCCTCTGAATTAGCCATGTGGAATGTGATGCAATAATCTTTAGTCCGGTGTTAATACAGGGCAGCCAGCCTCTCAACCTCCCACTGTGGCTGTTATCTTCCATGTGCACACGGCGGTGCAAAAGACAGCTCTGCTGACGCTGACATTATTCCCACGTTGGTTTACTGTCCCTCCCCTGTTTCTACTTCTCTACATAAGCACATCTCATATTCCAACATCTGCCATTAGGGAGGTGACCTTTAGGTTCCATGTTACATGACGTGTGGGGTATTAGTCATGGTATCTGAGATACAGCCGGTCAGGATAATCTAAGTGAAACAGGCCCTGGAGGGTCAGACCCACCCTGCTCACAAGCATGATACGACCTCTAACGCTGTTGACCTTTACAATGTTTGGACCCCCATTCTGGCACCTCAAAGCATGTGAAAAACGCCTCATTAGTTGATATCAAATAAAAGTATTAAGTTGAGGTATGAAGAGTGTGGTAAACCTGCCACTGATGGTGTCAATTGTCAAATAAATGTGTAGATGAATTTGAAAAAGTAATAAATAAAAATGCAAAAACATGTAGCAGAAAAATGTAAATTTCCATATTTGCTTATCATCCCATTCATTGCTGTTTCTTTAATTTGTATTTTCTTGCCCATTTATTCATTTCCTATTCTTTCAAGTAAATACATAAATTGCACTTAAATGGCCCGGCCAATTCTAATATTAATGTACCTTATTTAGTTACGTTACTCTTTGTTTTTATTTACTGCAATTTACTGCAACCACATAATTTCTATTCTAGGTTTGAATAAAGATAAAAAATATCTTAATCTCAATCAAATATCCACGCTCATGTATTTATTTTTAAATGAACTCCTACATTTGTTTGATGGTAGCTTTTATTTAAGCCATTTGTTTTGTGGTTCATCCAATAGTCCTCCATACGGACTCACAAGTGGGTGACATTAACTTACACTGAGAACATACACACCCAAATATTATAAGGAATGGATAAAAGCCATTGTGCATTTCATTTATATTGTATGAAGGTGAGAGAGAGAGTATGAAGAAAAGTTCAGTACTTGTGCAGGGCTGACACTGATTGGCTCCCTGAGGACGATCCAGGTGACGCTCTCCAACAGGGGAGGCGTGGTCAGAGATCCATCATAGGTCCAATAATCCAGAGAACCAGGAAGAAGAGTCTTTGAGTCAAAATTAGAAAAGGTGGTCTGCTTTCCCTGCAGATGTCAAGGAGCAAAGGATAGAAAAGAAGAAGTGAGAGAAGGAGGCCATTGTTACTCCTGGTTAATCCCGATCCTTTGTTAGTCTCCAAAATATATAAATTGCTCTGCATTGACCGTAACAGCAGATTTGTTCTTACCTTCGTATTAATGGCATCCAAGGCATCCAGAACCTTCTGAAGCCTGGGGTTGGCAGCACCAATCTGGAGCACAACACACACACATATTTGTAATTTGAATACTCAAATTACTTACCATGTATCTCAAAGGGCACAAATAGCACATTTCCACCACTACATAGAGTGCAGCCACAGTCGAATGGTTTGCCAGTCAAGACCCTCTGGTCACTAACCTTGAGGAAGACTCCAACCACTGCCAGTCCATCGGGCTGGCTGGCTGCATCTCCAAAGCTCGGGTACTTGGTGTTCCAGTGGACTAGGTGAAGCTAAAAGGAAAAAGAGATGTTTCAGCAACCTCCGGTTCTGAAAACGGAAGCTAATGCTTCATGTCTAAAACCGGCACTCTCTCTACTGACCACCAGGGGGCGACTCCTCTGATTGCATAGAAGTCTTTGAGAAAAGGACGCTAATTCTCTCTTGATTTATTCCCTCTGCAAACATTGTAAACATTAGTTTATGGTGTCAATCTCTACTTTAAGGTCTTCTTCAATACAGCATTATCTGTGTTTAGTAAGTTATGGTCCATTTGGACTCAATTAGAGAATAAAGCAGAGGGTGCTTCAGGGCAGTGCTTCCTTGCATTCAACAGTAATTAAAAAATTCCCCTGCTCTTAAATGCCCCATTGTGGCAGAACGACAGTAATGATTGTGGAGATAGTGACATTATTAGTTCAGTTCAGTGTTTTTCTGTCAATTCTGTGTCCTTATATAAAAACAAATCCTATTAAAACCCACCTCAAACTTTGAATATGTTGGGACTAAAGATACTGGGAATCCACCTATGAATTACCTACTTGATACTGTAAGACCCTATTGTTGTATGTTAGAGATCCTTATAAAGTTCCTTAACTTTATAAAAAAAATATATATAAAAATGTACATATAAAAAATATATATATATCTGTCCTCCTCCAAGTCTGCTGTGATTCTGAAAAAACTATAACCAGAGGTATTAGTTTCACACATATTATACCAAAACCTCTTAAATAGGTGGGATAGAAGCACCACAGGACAAAGCCGTTCATCCTCTAACATGAACTGTATGTGCTGGTTGTATCAGAAGATCCAGCAGCCTCAGTACCTCGCAGGGGAACTTGATGCCGTTGATAGTGTGCTCGGAGCCTCGGTCATCGCTGGCTCCCCAGTGGAAATGAAACTGCTTCAAGCGGTAGGTGCCGGAGATAGGACCTCCAGTCAGGGCTGGTAGAGCATGACAACCAAATCATTAGAGACACAGTTGGGAAAGGACACATTTAGTACCAACATGGTGAGTTATAAATCTATGCTCCTCAGTAACCTGCACGTTTTCAAAACGATAGTGCAGATTTTTTTTAGATTTAGTGTCAGTTCTACCTCACGATATTGCATTCGTATGTTTTTACTTTTCTATTTGAGTTCAATAACGTTTGTTTTTGTGGTGTGGGACGGGAGGAGCTTCATCAGGAAGTAATACTTATGCAACAAGACATCAAACCCAGGGAAACTGGTTGCACACAGAATTGGCTTTGATGAATAAAACTTCAACTTTTTGTACAAATATTCAAATTAAGTGGAAAAGGGAAAAAGAGGAGGTAACATAAATTAATATTGATAAGCCCTGCTGGATGCATGTTGGATAAACAGAGCAGGGTGAGGTGGTGCAGATGTCCTGTTGGCCTCTAAATACGCTCTTATCTACCAAAGTACACACAGCAGGGGTGGAGGTACAAACCAGACAGACTGATAAAGTTTAGTGCTGTAATACTGTAATACTAATGGGCTGGATGAGCCAATAGCATTTTCATTTAGTGTGGTTTACCCGTCCATCCACGAATGCAGTCTGTGCTTTTCCTTCGAGAGGGGAATGACTAAAAATCTTGTGACTTGTGTTTAAATCTTGCTTGCTTCATATTCATTCTTAATACTACCTACCTGCTCAATTCAGTGTTTTACTTCATTTTGTTTAAAGCAAAAAACGAGTTGAATGAAACAAGTAAATGTGGAAATGAGGTACATCCAGGAGCTGTGCTTACTGGAGCTGTCGCTGTCGTCCACGTAGTCCACCTGGAAGGAGTGTCCGTTGTTGAGGATGCCCTTGGCGTTGGAGGGGTCATACTTGATTTTCAGAGGCTTTAGAGTGGAGTCATATTTGGCGTCCTTAGGGACGATGTTGATGGGAGACTGTCTAGGCCCATTAGCTATAGGAAAATCTTCTCCCCATGTGTCAGGTCCTGCAAACACATATTCCAACATTAGATGGGAAATAAGTATATGTTGCAAGCGCTTTTTCATATTCTTTTTTATACTATACATATATTCTTTCTTTTTTAAGACATATTCAGGTTTAAAAAATAGTACTTTAATAATTTGCATAATTCAACCAATACAAAATAAACAATAAACACGCATAATATAAATAAATGTCATTGCGTAGAAAGAGGCAAAGAGCCAACGAAGCCACCAGATAAAATATTTTCATTAAATTTATCAAAAACTGAAATTATTTCGGCCTTAATGTTTCTTTTGCAGCCAGTCCAGGTGATGCTTGGGTACTTCAAACTCACTGGCACTTTTTAAAAGTTGAATTTCATCGCCTAGCTGGGAACAATGCTCACTGTGCAGTCGTTTTAAAATGAAATTGTTCATCCACAACGAACCGGATTCCTGAAGGGAACACTGTGTATATATGCCACTTGTTACTGATTGCACTGTTTCTGAGGAATGCCAACGCACCGCCTGCAGCGCGCAGTGGAGGCTTTCAACCTGTTACGTGTAAAACCCGGTACGTGCAGACACATCCTCACCATTGCCTGGTCCGTATCCCCATCCATGAGACATGGCTGCTGCCGCTGTGCGCTGTCCTGCTGACACGGAGCAGTGATTAGTCCAAAGTCAGGTCGGAAAGAGGCTGATGAAGGATGATGATGACGATCTGGTGACAGACACCCTGCTGAAGGGCGGCCGCTGCTGGGCTTTATATACGCAGGCTCTCAGCGGGGGGGTTGGCTTCTCCTTCCTTCAGCGGGCGGTCAATCAAGGCGACGGTGCAGCCATCCAGGGATGTAGGCGTCCTCCTGCCGCCTTCCCTCCTCTCCTCCTCTCCTCTCCTCCGCTTCCCTGCCGCCTGCCCCCTTTGTTTGGCAATATTCTGAGGCAGATGTTGAAGAGGTGCGTTTTTTTTTTTATCGCATCCCTGCGGCCCCCCGAGCTGCTAACAGCTGTTCCAGGATCACCGCAGGTTGATGCGTTCCAGCTGGCTTTTAGCGCAATATCCTGAGCGCGGCATTTTCCTTTGACCGCGGTTATTCGGCTGCTCCGGGAAAGCTGCATGCGGGATGCGGCGTGCTGGCCCGCTGGCTCGCTGCCAGGTCTGGACGGAGACCTCTTGGGGGCCGATACCCTCCCCCTCCCCCCCCTTTCACCTGCTTCACCTGTTATTGGTCATATTTATTCATCCTGTAGAAATATGTATGCGTGTATGCTACTCAAACCAGCGCAGATTATAATAAATATGAACAGCGATCAGTGCTACTTACTTTTTCCAAAGAAATATGTTGCACAAATATATTGAAATTTCAAAAGAGGTTGGTCTTTCTAAAATAATCTATTGCATATGAGAAGTCCTCATGCTACAGACGTCCTTATCTTGGTTACCCAAAGGTATCCATGGTAACAGAGCAGGAGCCTTCTGCAGGTTACAAGGTTATTTTAATGTCAGTGTTCAATAGGGTTGCAAAGCGAATACGCAATATTCATAATATAGATAAAAAACTATATCATTTGTGGAGGATGACTTAAAGAGAAGAAGCTGCTGTGACATCTGAGCGTCCAGCAGCGGATACTTCGGCATCTCTTGGCACGGAGTAGCGGGAACAAGAGCAAGTTGTGTCTTAAGATCCTCTTCTCACCAATACAACTGATACAAATGATGTTACCAATGATGTTACTGACATGTAACTATTTAAAGCCCACTCAAAAAATAGATGTTTCTACATTATTATCGGCTGCAACAGCGAGTCTGTTGTTGTTCTCATCTTGTGTGTGTGAGAGAAATAAGACCCTTGAGTCATATATATATATATATATATGTATATATATATATATATACACATATGTAGAAGAGGAGGTCGGCAGGTGCTTATATTTCCGCCTGTCACAAGGACGCCAGAAAAATACATCCCGGCTGCCCCCCCCTTTCCATCCTGTGTGTGCAGCTTCAGTCGGGTACATACATTGATGAAACCTTTACTCAACAGTGTGCTTATGTTTTATTTTCTGTTTTCAACTATATTCTGTAACAATACAATATTATACAGAAATGCTGCATAAGATGATTTTCCCTTGTGCTTGGAGTTCACATGGGTCGGTATGTAGTGTTTGACCATGTCCTGGATGTAAGCTGGACCCGATCCATTCACAGCATGGTACGTGAGCACTGTAATGGTAAAATATATTATAACATTGTTTTGTGCTAAAGCCGTGTCTCAAGTGTTCTGTATTTGACCCTGATGTGCAAAGAGCAGCATGATACAAAATGTTAGTTTGCAGCTGTGCCCTGAGAAGGGAGAGCGGTCGACTCGATCTCATAGAAGCTTCAAAACAAAGGACTTCTGTTCGTGGCCTTGGTTCATATCTTATTCGGTACGAAGGTTTCGGATCCACGTTTTACTTTATGTCAACTAATTATGATTTGCACCGGCCACTGAGGAGGATCTTGTGTGTGTGTGTGTGTGTGTGTGTGTGTGTGCTACCCTCATCTTAACCTGGGTTCTTATCTCGACTTGGTTTGCAACTTCTCGTACCTGCCACTGAGGATGGCCTTCCTATGTGTATAAAAACTCAACGTTTTTACTGCTCGGAGACGCCATTTCCACAGAGCACTGTGATACGTGCCTGTGTATTTGACCTCCTGCTTGCAAGCAATAAATGGACTTTTTGCAACTTTGATCATTCATCAAGACTCTGTTTTATCAGACAAATCATTCTCTTCTACCGAGCTTTTATTGAAAACAAAAACAACAGCACCAATGTTTTGAACTGGATGCAGGCAGCCACCGGTAGCCAGTGAAGAGAGCGGAGTAGTGTGGGAGAATTTCGGAAGGTTGAAGACCAGTCGAGCTGCTGCATTCTGAATGAGCTGCAGAGGTCGAATGGCGGTAGCAGGGAGACCAGCCAGGAGGGAGTTGCAGTAGTCCAGGCGGGAGATGACAAGAGCCTGAATCAGTACCTGCGCTGCCTTCTGAGTGAGAAGGGGACGTGTTCTCCTGACGTTGTAGAGCTACAGGATCGTGTTGTCGCGGTGATGTTGGTAGTCAGGGGGAGTTGACTGTCGAGTGTCACGCCGAGGTTCCTAGCAGTCAAAGTGGGCCACAGAGTTGCCAAAGTTAACTGTCAGGTCCTGTGTAGGATAATCTTTTCCTGGAAAGAGAAGTAGTTCAGTCTTGTCGGGGTTGATTTTCAGATGGTGAGCGGACATCCACTGAGAGATGTCAGTCAGACAGGCAGAGATCCGAGTGAGGGAAGGAGAGACTTAGTTGGGTGTCATCGGCATAGCTGTGAAGCCATGTGAGCGAATGACAGAACCGAGAGAGTTGGTGTAGTTGCTTGTAGTTGCTAGTTGCTTTGATGGTACAAATTTACAACAGAATGCACAGAAGGCTCAGTCCTCACGGTCCTTTAAGAGACTGAAGCCTGTATGTCACATACGTCAAACTCCGGCCCGCCGGATGACTTTGTTATTGTGAGGGATGAGGATCGAGAGGCTGGTCGTGTCTTTTTTCTATATCGATTCGTCTTGCCATCCTATATATATATATCCACTCGGAGAATTGATCTCTAGTTTGTCCTGCCAGGATGTTAAACCTGGTCTTAATGCATCAGGTTCTGCTCCTCATGTGGAGGAGCTCATTGAGCCTCAAGACGGCGTTTCAACGGGTTCTGAGCTCATGAGACGCTGGTTTAGTGCTGCAGTAGGAAGTATAAACAGAAACCAGTCCGTCCATTGGAGGATTAAATGCTCTACTTCCGCTGTCCACTTTTCCCTTTTTGCCATTTGTTTCTCATTTTTCTCACCCGTCTCTTTGTCTCACTTTCTCCGTCTCACTCGTCTTTGTCTCGCGATCTTTCTTTTCTTCCTACTGTCTTTTTATTTGTCATTTGCCACTACTTCTCTCGTCTGTCTGCAATTGGTCTGTGCCTTAAGCCAATCAGTAAAGACGACCAAAGCTGCGCCGTTCAAAAAGTGTGCTGTCACGTATAAGTCACAACCGTCTTTTTTAGCATCTGGTCCGGATGGGACGGCTTCTCGGTCCGGATCTGGACCGCGGCCCGCCACTTGGTGACCTGTGATTTACAGCAACCCCGTGCATTGGTCCAATGTGGAATCACACGTAGGCTACTATTTATGTCACAATTTAAATCGTATGTAATGTAAAAATATAGTAACAGTAGAATACTGTTGAAAAACCATTGTTGCTGCCACAATATTCCATGCAATAATAAATGGTCCGAGTGCTCATTGTGTGTTGTTTCTCTGTGTTCTATAAATAATAACACTTTTAAGACATGTATATATTGCATATTGATAAGCCCTGCTGGATGCATGATGGATAAACAGAGCAGGGTGAGGTGGTGCAGATGTCCTGTTGCCCTCTAGATATACGCTCTTATCTGCCACAGTACACACAGCAGGGGTGGAGGTACAAACCAGGCCAACTGATCCAGCTGACTTGATACTGTAATACTGTAATACTGTCCAACCACGCTGCTCTCAGCTGTTACGGCCTGAGAAGATTTTACCGTGCAGACGATTTTAGAGCAATATCCTGAAGGGGACATTTTTCACCTTTAGCCAGCCGTGTTTATCCTGCTGCACTGCTCTATGAAGGCTGCATGAGATGTGCTTACCTGTGGCTCTCTGAAGGGACGCACACTGTAATACAGTAATAATACAACATTATATTTAAAAAGGGCATTCCACTTCCCTCCATTTGTTGAGATAAGTATTAAAGGTGCTGCTCGTGTCTTGTGACTAATCAGCTGCATTTTGAAGACAAGGAACCATCAGCTCCACTTTCTCTTTTCACTATAACACATCAGCTCAAAGGCACTCTGGCTTGATCATTCCTTTGCCTCATGTTGTAGCTTTAATAATGTCATACAAGAGCACATGCTGCCTATCTTCAACCATTATCTACATGCTTTTTCACAACTAGAAGAAACAATTGATGAAAAACATGCAGAAAGAAAACATGTTGTCTAAACAAACCTACTTCACACACCTGAACATCTCACCTGTGATTTTTCACTGTGTTATACAGGCTCAGTTTATTTTATATCTTGTTTTATTCATGTGTTTTTATTTTAATTCACTTATATTGGATTTTCTTTTCCTTAAACAAGCCAAGCAGTCTGTCAATGCAGGTGCTGCCATCTTGTGGCCTGAGCAGATATAACTGCACAGATGCACATCGGGGCCACTGGCTGACAGACGTTTTTTGACTGAAATCACCTTCTGGCTCTTTGGCCTTGTCTTCACAGGGGGAGGAGGGGAATGCTTCCCCTCATCAGGAGGTCATGCTGTGATTACTCTGCACAGGTCAAAGAAGAAGAACCGTTGTCCTGATAGATGAATGTTCAATGAATCGATTGACAGTCATGCTCGTTCCACCATTTAGGAGCAACGACAGCAAAGAGTCGTGATCTAGTCGAGTGTTTTGCTCTCAGTGAGGGAGGAACGAGCAGTTTAGCAGATGCACGCTGAACGCTACGATGCTCCGCGGTAGTCGTGGTTCTATCAGCCCGTTCATGTCGCTCTGCCTCCGTAGAAACTTTGCCTCGTGCTGCATCCGGTCGAGCACTTGCACATGTATGTATTTGGGGTTTGTGTGTATATTTTTGATGCAAAAGTACTAAAAGTACAATTTTGAGTCACGTTTGCAAAGTTTTATTAGGAAGTGTTTGCTCTGTGGTATTTTGAGTGTATGTTTTGTAGTCTGTGTGTAGTTTAGTCAAAAAGCATCAGCATTTGTACCAGGAGTTGTTTTACTGTGAACATTGTAACATCATGAAATCACTCCCGTGTATGCATACACACACAGACACACACACAGACACACACACACACACACACACACACACACACACACACACACGCCCTGGCACACTTTGGGAGCAGTAGCCCCTGGGGCCGTCTAAACGCTGAGGAGGATGATGACATGGGACAGGGCGGTCGGTCTCATGTCGATTCTTGTCTTAGTGTCAGAGAGACGCGATCATCTGAGGCTCCGGTTCAGTGGGTCCTGGGGGGCGAGCCGGCTTCTGAACTGAGCCAGTGCCAGCGTGACAGCTCCCTCTCTGCATTGGTTCTCCCCCCATGATCCTCCCTTTACCCCCCTTTCTCATCAAGAGGGACATTCACAGCCCTCACATCAGGGGAATCCTGCTCCGCACAATAAAGTTGCTAATTGCAGTGTGAACCTTGTGATCATTAGCACTCCCTGAGCTAACTACCGCACTTCATTTACCCCCCCCCCCCGCTGCCCTCACAGCATCGATGCTGCATCCTGCAGGAACCGGCTGCAGATGCAAAGTGGATCTGACGTGTAGGATTTCAGTATGTGGGTAGGAATATGATGAGGAATGGTATGCTCTTTTTTCACTGGTAGGGATCTAAATGTGTGTCGACATTTTTCAAGCGTCGTCGTAAGAGAGTCTATCAACACACTCTAATTTACATGTATGCAGTCATGCATCATACATGATGCCTGGTTTCTAGAACTATGGGTTTTGCCATTTGGCCTGGTCAGCTGCCTTACATGTCAACCATGATGCTGTTCTCCACCGCGCTTATAACGGGAACAAAGGAGGAAGTTGCGGTGACGTAGCAGCAGTACGTTCCAGGCTAGGATGACGTCAGCGTGGAGCATCATAAGTCATCGCTGACAAGTGTAAAGTAATGTAAGGTTACTCCGTCGGGAACAAGGTACTTGGCTTCCAAGGCTGAGCTTTCAAGTCGAATATGATGCTGTATAGATACATAACTAACAATGCATCATATTTCAATTGGTGTGTTTTGTGACTTTATTCTGGATCTACAACATTAAATATTTTTCTATTTAAGGATGTACTAATACTGGTAGGAGTACACAAGAAGTAATATTTAGTCAAGTTTCATATTTTGTACTTACTCATGAAACCTTATGGGTTTTTGGAGTGAATAAATCAATTATCTGTCTTTCAGTCAGAATCAGTCTTTCTGTGTGTTTTTCTGTGTGTCCTTTATCTCGAGAACAGTTTCTCTGGTCTACTTACACTCGTGGGCATAAAGCTGTAGACACAGACACTATTGAAGTTGTCCATTACTAATAAAGTAATAAAGCGCAAGGCTGATAAACAAGTGACAGCTCCGGGGACTGTCTCTAACGTGTCCTCTGTGCAGTCCTTCACAGGCAGCTGCTCATCCACTGCAGCTTACTTTTGCTGCTGGATGCTGATTGTAAGAAGTGGACGTAGTCATGGGGACTCCACCCATTGGTTTGTGGACTGTAGCTACGAAGCCTCAAGTTTGACCGTGTCAATGTCGCTATATTGGAATTTGCTGCTCACCATCTTAGATCTTTTGCATCTAATGAACGGAAGTTATTTGGAATTGGAAAGAGTGGTACAGATGCAAAATGCATGACGTGTAAATCACAGCATGCGTCGCTTCACTTGACTAAATGAAGCATCATTTACTAAACCACCTCACTGAAGACTTTAAACTAGAGATTTCGATCATGAATTCATGTTTACAATGGGGGAATAAATCAAGAGAGAAGTAGAGTCATTTTGTCAAAGACTTCTGTGCAATTGAAGTCGCCTTTTGAAGGACAGTAGAGCAAATCCAGTTTGATGACACCTCAACATCTACAACAAAGCTTATTAAAACGGTTTGTTCAATATTCTTTAAGCCTTGAGGGGAAAAGTGTTTCTAATGCGGTTGGTCTGAGATCTGACGCTCTGCAGAAGTAGTCCTTTTTGCTTAGGCAGTTTCCTAATTGAGTGAAAGGATCCAGAAGTAGTGTAAGTGGCCGCCATGATAAGAGCTGTTTGAATTCTCTAAATCAAAGGAAAGGAAGGAAGGCTTCAATGCTTCCTTACTTAGCTCCTTTAGCATAGGAACCACTGCACCATCATTTACGAAAAGAATTAAAGAAGAAGCTAATTCCATCCCACAATTCCTTGACTTCCTCCTTCTGCAGGACATCAAAGTGTCCTGAGAGTCTGTGGTGGAAGCAATCCTCTGATTATTTAGGAGCTATTTTTCTTGTCTTGTTTTCTGTTTTTGGCTCAGTCAGGGGCCGTTCTATAGGTGCTGAGACTGTCTCTGTTGGGCCCACTCCAACAACACCACTGATGCTTAAAACCCAGGAGTCTGAGCTGGGATGTCAGTCACAACTCTGACGGAGACACCACTAAAGTTAACTGGTAGCTTAGCCCTTCTGGACTCCCTACATGGATTAAGTCAGAGGATAGGTCCCTTACCTCCCCCCTAGGCGTCCTCATTGTTGTATTTTACCGGTACAATCACCGCTGGCAAAATTGCAAAATGCTGTTATCATTATATTTGTAAACCCCACATTAATGGAGATGGGAACACCATTCCATGTTCTAGAAGAGCGTGACGAGCCGGTGATTATCTCCTGCAGATCTGTTCGACAGATATGCAGTCTCTTTGAGACGTGAGGAGCATCGATCCTGAATCCCAAGGATAACAGTCATAAGATTACTGTGTGACAGTCATGTTCCCTCTTTCAGGAGCACATGTTTCCTCGGAGGATAAAGTCTGATATAGAAATGCTACAGTAAAAAACAGTGAATGCAGAAAGTACAGTGTTATGTTTGCAAATCAGACGGCAGTTTGTAATATTCGTATTGTCTTGATTTCCCCTGCAGCAGAAGAAGTAGAGTTGCAGGACCTGGAATGAATAGAGGATTCCAGCTCTGTCTCACAAGAGACATGTAGTAGAAACGTCGCTCTCGCGCCTCTCAGTCGGATGAGTCGACCACAGTGAAGCCGGCGGTGGTGACGCTGCTCCACTTCCACTTCTGTTCTAAAATAAAAGCACTCATCTGCAAAGCTTTCCATCACGTAGATAAATAATTGTTCTGGGAGAAGTAGCCCTTCTAAACGCTGAGGAGGATGCGACCCGGCTTGTGAACTGAACCAGTGGCAGTGTGACTGCTCCCTCTCCAACCACCAATGGAAAGGAATTAAAATAAGACCATTTGTCTGGTGGCTCCTACGTTTTTATTGTATTTCTCTAGTTGATTAAAACAAATAGATTTGAATTATCATCAACTGTAGAAGACCTGGAGCATGAAATCAGTCCCTGAAAGGACTGACCCTGTGAAACCTCCCCTGATGTGATCATTTTGATTTGATATAGGCCAGTGAATGAAAAATGAATAAAATTCAAGTTACATCATTGAATTACAAGCATTTTCTTTCATCTGTGTCACACGAGAAATGTGATCTTTTATTTTCTAGCGCTAACTTGCCTGATTTCCGGCGCCATCCAGGCTTACTGCGGTTAACTTGCTGCAGTTCATGGACCACAGGCTTGCGCCACTTGATGCCCCCACATCCACATGCACTTGCGCACTCGCAAGCGCTCACACTCACACAGACCCACGCAACGCACACGCACACGCATGCACGCGCGCGCGCACGCACGCACACACACACACACACACACACACACACACACACACACACACACACACACACACACACATGCATTCCAGCAGTGACTCTCTGTTGTGGTCGCCTCGCTTCTAAAAACGGACGTGCTTTTTGGATTTAGCTGCCGGTGCCTCCGATCCACGGCGGCGTGAGGAGCTGCTGCTGTCCGCCGCAAGGTAAGCTGGACCATTCGGGCTTCAACCGCTTATGAATGAGCGGCTCGTCGATACCGAGCGGTCCTCGGGCTCTCTGCTGCATTGGCGTCAGCGGCCGCTGTCGCGCGTGGGGAGATTCCCCCCGCGGGGTGCCGCCGCTCAAAGGACCTTTAATCCCGCAGAGAATATGGCGGGGGGACCTTCCCGCTGAGCACCTAGGGGTCTCGGAGCTAATTCACTGAGCTCCTGTTCAACATCATTTCAAAGTTTCAGAGGTGATGGTCCCCGAGGGAGGGGGGGGGGGGGGGCTGTGCTTATGCGCGGCTCGGTAAGACCGTGGCTTTCTTCACGCAGGTGCTGAAGGATGCCCCGTGCAGACGGGGGTCGGCGCGCGGAGCTTCAGCAGCGGCGCCGTTAAGCGGCCGCTGATTCGCCCCGTGTGTCTCACGCGGCTTTACCTCCTTGCTTCGGTGGAGATAGAGCGCGCGCGCGCGCGCACGCACGCGGGCGGCAGCTGGATGCAGCTGGATGGGAAGGGGTGCGTTAGTTAGTTTACAGCCGTTAAATGAAAAGCGAAAGCGGTCGGGTGATGTCGTTAAGTGATGTCATTGACTCTTCTGCTTTTTTTGGTGTCTCGCGCCTCTCGGAAAGAAGTTGTGCGCGCGGAGGAGCGCGCGTCAGATCCCAGCGTGTTTCTAATTCAAGGAGACCAACTGGTGATGATGAGCGCGTGGGCAGAGTGTCAGCTGGGGAGGGATTATATTATTATATTACCACCCAACATGGATGAGTCAGTTACACATCACCTTCATATCCGTTTTATTGTCTCTACTTTGCTCCATATGTGTTACTCTTTGCATTTATCACAGTGTGTGTTCTCATCTCTCAATGCAGTTCAATGCAAAGTGATGCATAACTTGGAAAACAGGCTTAAATACATTATGTGACAGGCTCAGTAATGTAACTGCTCTTGCATTTATTACAATAATGCTAATAGAGGCGGCTCATGGCCACAGGAAACAGGCACTCGCCTCCTCACAGCAGGGGAGTGAACCTGCCCTTCCAGAGAAAAGGCAGGTGTGCATTATTCTGGGTTGGGGGACATTTCCTGAGTGAAAGACAAGTTACTTTTGACGTCTTTTGTGTGCTGCTGAAATAATGAGTGGAGTATTTGGAACGTCATCGTTCATTTCATTTGTGTTATTGTTTCAGTTTATGAAAGCAATGTGATGACCACTTCCCGGTTTCAGCTTTTTTAAATAACTCATTTTGCTGTGTTTCTCTTTTTAATAACTTTTTGCGCAATTTGCAGATTTTTGGAAGGTTATTTCAATCCCATTACATAATTTCATGGTGTTTTTTTTTGTGTGTGTTTATATTAGGAAGATGTATAATTGAGTCCCATATTAAATAATATATTTTCCTAATATAATAATAATATAATCCCTTTCTTAGAAGTTTCTTTTCATCAAATCATTTCTAAAGAATGGAGAACAGCTCCATCCTCCATCCTGTCCCCCCCCTCCTGCCTCGGATGTGAGCCCTGCCTGCAGCGAGCGGCTGGTGGAAGCGCGGGGGGGAGGGGGGGGGGGACTCTGTCTCAGCCGGCAGCTCGGTTTACAAGAATCAAACAACATTAAAGCTGAACAGTTTGATTCCACAGCGGACCGGTTTTGTTTGGCTTGTTTGTGGATGAGGCACTGAGATGAGAGGGAGGAGTTCTTCAACGCTGCAGGGGATCTTTCAGTAACCTTGAGGAAATCTCACTCATTTCTCACTGAGGGCAGAACAGGTAACGCCACATCAATGCTCCAGTTTTCACGTGCTTCCTGTTTACAACTGGGTTTCGGCTGGATTTGTACCTCAAATACTGGTCATTATTTTAATACGCAGCCCTGTTCACAAAAGGGGGGATCTATAAAACGTTGAGAACTAGAAGTAACCGGCAGTCTTGTATTGCTTCTTGCGTAGTTGTGTATTTGACCTGAGAATTCATGGATTTATACAGTAATATGAGCATGAACGTAACAAATGCGAAATGAATGAAAACATTTGGGCTGTATTGATTAATCGGCTCCATGTTTCAGCCCTTTGTGCTGCTGTCTCGAGTGCAGCTTGCGAGAACAGTTTGTCTCTGACCTCGATCAAAGAGTTTCAAAGCGCTATTTGACGAAACACTCGTTGTGTCGGAGTGAATTCCTGTTGGAGCTTTCACAGCTCTCGGTTTTGATGCGCTGCCTAGACAGCAGATCTCATGTGAACACAATGAGTCGCTTGACACTTAGAATATGACGTTTCAAGTTGCGTCTGAGCGGCCTGCTCCTCCGCTCTTAGCTCCACGCCCTGTGTCATGTTTAGTCACAAAAGTCATTTCTGAATCTTTTGGTTCAAAAGAACCAAAGTTATTTCTTATATAAAAGTACCTAGTTATATTATTTCTAGGGCTGGGTGTTTATTATCGCGTTCATTAATTAACACTGACAATTATTTTATTAAATGTATTATTATTATTTTGAAAGTCTGTTTTCCTCTGCTCTGAATACACGTACAGTAAGTTCATGGGTCACAGGGGGAGGGGCGCCATCACGAATCTCAACTAATGAGAACATTTGGGGGCGGGCCTAAGATCGCTGCAGCCTGGCGGACATTTTTATTTTAAATCTCTTCACGGACCTCGGAGTCCTCACGGAGTAAAACAGACTCATGAATGTTAGCTTGCCTGTTATAATGTTGTGATCGTGGAGGGTAACGTGTTTTTCAAATTGATTTGGAAATGATAAAGAAGAGAGACGGTGATTTTACCCTGCTCTCCTCTCCCTGTCATGATTTTATAGAAGTTGTACTGCCCTCTACACACACCTCTTCATTTTAGAGTACACAATCTTAGAACGTCCAATTCACTGCGATTTGACTCGGACTGTAGCTCAAAGACTTGAGACCTGACTTGCTCTTAACGTGTGGTTTTCTTTGGCTTCTTCAGAATTCAATTTTATTAATTTTCTTTTGTTTAGCCCCAAATCACAAATTACAAATTTGCTTCACCTTTTCCAGCCTGCACACATGCGACAACCTCTTTCTCGAAACCCTCACATTGGCACAGGAAACTGTCTTGTGTACAGAAAGGCAGCGTAAAAGATGTACAATACGTTCACTTGAGAAAATTATTAAAATGTGTATATGTATGCATGATGTATATAATGTGGACACACTCAGTAGTTGATTATGTTGGCATGGATCATTTTGGGATAAATGGATAAATCTATTTTTAGCAGACTGGTATTGAAGTATCTTGCAGACTAACACGCAGATGATATGGACGTTACATGTTGGAATATAGTTCCCATTTGTCTTTGATTTTTGTAATCCCCTCTCCAATATAAAGTCAACCTGACTGTATTTTGTCTCTGGCTTCCCTGAAGAAACTACCTAGCTGCTTGCCTCTCTGTTCCTCTGTTACCACCTCCTTCAATTCCCCTCCGCATCCATGGCTTTGCTTAAGTGGGATTATTTCGGTGTACTGCTATAAATTATGCATAAAGTCAAGCTGGTTGGTCCGGCAGAAGCGTTCTTGCATTTAATATTGCTGCTACAGAAGGGATTGACTCCTCTGCCCTCTCGGCACAGAGCCTGCTCTCTGCTACACTGCCCTTTTCTCCCGGCTGTCCTTCATAAGGAGCATCCGAGCTATACGGCTTTACCGCACGATTGACAATGTTTAGGATGTTAGAAAACCTGTAGAGCAACCGACGCAAAGTAGAAACACACCTCTATAGACCAATGTTTCCCCTGCCATTAAATAAGGGGTCGCTCCTACACCCCCCCCCCCCAAGCACCACCACTGCCTCCCCAAGAAAGTCTCGCCCGACACGTTTGTGCATACACGAACACGTGCGCGCATTTTACCAATACTAAGTCCTTAACAGCTGCCCATCTTCACCCTCACACTCAAGGTCAACGCCTCACGTAGCCTGTCTGAGCCTCTTCCAGCTATGGGTACTGCAAAAACAGGACGTGGTGTTTAGAATCACGTTGGATTATTTGGCAGTGTTATGCATTTATGTGTTTTTCGGCAAAAGTACATTTTAATGCTATCAATAATCATGATTATGTGATTTTGTACGTAAAGGACTGTGGCTGCACACACGCTTTCATTGTTGCTAAAAGTAGCAGATTGATGGATATCAGGCAATTATTGGTTGGAATTGGTGGCACTAGATGATATAAGAAGGAAAATGTATTTCTCTCTGTCAGTGCAAAGTGGGATAGGGGTGTGATGTAAAATAAATAAAATGCCTTATTTACTTGCCTTTATCTTATTATATCAAAGGAGTTAATGTGACAAAACGTCAGAGGTGGACAGCAAGACCAAGTGCTGCAGAAACCTGAGGACCCTTGGTGCTTCACTCCCAATGAGTAATGATGTGATTTTGGGCTCGTGCCCCCTCCGCCGGCGGACACCACGGAGAACGTAAATCCCTGTTCTACAATGACCAAAAACTGCTTGGAACCGTATTGTTTGCAATGTGCATTCTGCCCCACTTTTCAGAAAGTGGGGCAGAATGAATCGTGGGGATAGCCCAGCCAGATGGATCATAGTGCATTCTGTGTGTGTGTGTGTGTGTGTGTGTGTGTGTGTGTGTGTTAAACAGAGAAAGGGGATTCCCCATGTGTCAGCTGGTGCTTGTGTTGCCCACTGACCTTGGGGTGTTAAATGAGCTCCACTGAAATTGAGTGAAGAGACTGATGGTCCCATGGGGTTGATGGAGCCCGCCACAGACAGGAGATGGTTTTGTCTCTTGGACACATTCTCAGTGTGTGTGTGTGTGTGTGTGTGTGTGTGTGTGTGTGTGTGTGTGTGTGTGTGTGTGTGTGAGCAGCATTCAGACTTATAGGAATGAATGCCCATTTTGAAGAGGAAGCTGCTGGTCGCTACAGGAGATCATAAGAAAATATTTATTGGACACCGTTGGGAGTTGAAGTAGAAAAAGCATGACTAGTGGTAGAAATGATAATAATGTGTG